CCTTTGCCCAAGATAGTGTTTAATTAAAGCAGTTATCAAGCATTTTCTGCCGCTCATGACAGCAGTTGGGAAGTTCAGTCTCCCTGACCTAATGCTGTAATTAGAAGCTGATTCTTTATTAGTGGGATCTCATTCTCTCTCTGCACTAAGTGTTAGTCTGCAGATGACCGGGTTGAAGAGGACAGTGTAGATTCACTATGGAATTGAATGCAGTGAAACCCAGATAAATGGACCTTCCCCCTGACATTTAGGGTATTGGTATAAAGCTGAAACAATAACTAGCTGTGGGTCACAATGACTTGCAGGAACCCTCGGACACAGTCTCCTTGTGGAGCCAGGGTCTCGCAGGTATCAGCCATGATCTAACAGAATGGTGGAACAGGCTCGAGGGGCTGAATGGCCTCCTGTTCCTATGTTCGTACAACTCCTTTAAGGCCCCATCACTCAAACTCGCTAATTGTGCCTTCAGGCAGTTAACACTGGCTCTTGTTTCCCAATGTTACCTTAAAATACGGGGACTATAGTTATGTTGGCAAACAGGCAGCTACTAAATAATAGTAATAATAATCCTTGCATTTGATTTAGTGCCTTGTCACGTCTTCGAGACGTCTCAAAGCCTTCTGTGCCAAGGATCCCACACACAGCATTAGGAGGAGAGACCAATGAATGTTATTTGATGAATTTGGAAGAGAGGTGCAGGTAGTTATATTCGTATAGATTGTACAGCACAGAAACAGGCCATTCAGCCCCACTAGTGTTTGTATTCCAGAACAATCTGTACATCAGGAAGAGCTGGAGAGAATCGGTTTGATGCTGGCGTTCTGGAATTCTGGCTCAGGATAAACCTGTTCAGGCATTTTGAGAAGATTCCTTTTCTTGCTCTAGAAATGTTTGAATGTTGGTTCCCAATCATCACAGTAACAGGAGGCCGTTTGCTGATGGACTGGGTTAGAGGTCTCGCCGTATCACGTGTCCTGTCTCCTCGGAGGATTCATCCTCCCAGAAGCGTAGGCGGCTGATTATTCCACATGAAATCATCTGTCACCAAACATTACATGTTCATCAAATGGAAGCAATACCCGGAGCCCTCTGACATCAAATTAAACTGAAGGAAAGACAGTATCTGTCGATGTGAGACTCTGGCTAGGAATCTCAGCTGCATTGCAAGCGAGAGGGCCTGGGTCTAATTCCCGGGAGGGTTGGGCCGAAACCTTAGGCAAGTTTCCTTACTCCACACACATGACTCTGTTTACTGAGCAGTAAATAGGAACCCAGTTGTTAGTCGATTGGCGGATCGCTTTCCGGGGGTGATAATCCCTCCAAAAAAAATCACAAATGTTTGTGGGACGCTGCTGTGCACAATTGGCTGTCATGTTTCATCCACAAAATACACAGTCACTACACTTTACAGTGTATCCTGTGAAGCAATTTGAGACATCTCGATTACATGACAATGTGTTATGTCAAAGGCCAGAATTATTATTATTCATTATTATTATTACAAAATTCACTTAAAGAATTGGTGAAAAACTAAGATCTCAAAGACAGAGAAAGCTTTCTGACACTGAGCGCTCAGTGAGTTCTCGGGGGGGAGTGAGGGGGGCACAGGAGAGCTCAGCTTTAGAGTTTACTGTTAAAGTATATACCCTGGCAGTGTGGGGGGAGTGGGGGAAGCTCTGTGGCAATTTGGCTGCCAAACAAACAGCGGAGGTATTACAATAATAATAATCGTTGCATTTGATACGGCGGCTCATCAAATTTTCAAGGCGTCTCAATGCGCTTGACAGAATATACTGTAAAGTGAATTGACTGTATTTTGTGACTTAAGTTTTTATGTAATCAGTCGGAAGAAATATTCATTCCCTTCAAAATGGGGATTTGATTGCGGAGTTGCCCTCGCAGAGGCTGCAGAGGAACTGCGGAATAATAGCACTGGTCTGTTCTGTGCTTTAATAATTGTGTTTAACTTATTGAAAACTGTGCTCCTTCTCCCACCTTGGCAGTCAGGCTCGTTGCAGAGGGCCGTGGGCGGTAGGCGTCTAGAACAGCAGGGAGCTGACACCCACCCCCTCACTGTGAGCCCTAACCACACTCCAACGAGCAGCGATGCACCGTGCCCTGCATGCATTACATTCCAAACCCTTTAGGATTGACCCTTATCTGCTCGGCTGGCAGTATTCCTCTGCAGTGTTTGAATCTCGGTTTAAGCTTGTACGTGTGTGAGGCTCGGACACAAACTCTACACTTAGGAACATTAAAGAAAGGACTTGCATATTTACACAGCTTTATCACGTCTCAAAACTCGTTTCGCCCACAAAATACACAGTCGCTCCACTTTGCAGTATATCGTGTGAAGTGCTTTGAGACGTCTCAACCACTTGCTAAGGCGCTGGGTCAAACGCCAGGATGATTATTATTGACTCTTCACACCTAATTCCCGTCAAGTGAGGTAACTGTTTTGATGGGTAAACAAGACAAACATTTGTGCCAGCAAGGTTCCACAAACAGCCCTGAGGTAGATTGCCAGCCATGACTCTGGGACAAACTCCCTTCTCTTTGTCAATAGGATTACAGGATCTTTCACATCCAATTGAAAGAACAGGTGATATCACGGTTTGAAGCCTCATCCAATAAATGGTCCTTTTGACAACGCGGCACTCACACAGTAATGCCTTAAAGCTTTAGGACTATTTGGTAATCCTAATCTGTAATCCTAATCCAAAACTCGGACTGTCCAGCGCCCTGGGACGTCCTCCCGACGTTGTTGTGGTTGTTTTTGTTACTCCTTTCCTTATGATCACAATCATTCTCATTGTCTCACGCTTCCCTTTACCATTCTCTCTCCACAGGAAACATTGGTTGTCTCCTGACTCATTTACACTATTTGCTTCCAAAGCCTTTCCTTATTCCAAGTGTCTCTTGTGCTTCAAGACAAAGGACATCAATGTCTTGGGTAGATTGAAAGAAGTCCAGGGAAGTGGAGCAGGGCCGCTCAGAGAAATCAATTTACAAAGCCAGTGCAGTCAATTTGTCATCGTTACTCAATGAGATTGAATTTCTACATTTGATGCCCGGGGAAAGGTTTTTGTTCTGCAGGAAGCACATCATCTGCTACACTGCGGACTTTTCAATCTGGTGCAAATAACTTATAGCCGTGGGATCTAAGGTAAGGGATGTGGGTACATTCGCTTAAGGTTGGCCACTTTCCTTTCGTACGATCAACTGGCAATGGCTGGAGAGTTTTACAATAATATAATAATAATAATCCTTGCTTTTGATATAGCACCATATCACGCTGTTGAGACCCAGAAAAGTATTGTAAAGTGAATTGACTGTATATTTTGTGGGTGAAACTCGGCAGCCAATAGTGCACAGCAGTGCCCCTCAAACAGTCGTAGATTGAGTGATCAATTTGTGTTTTTTTAAGGGATTATGATCCCTGGAAAGCGATCCGCCAATCGACTAACAAGCGGGTTCACTGTGTTTTGCTGGTGAAGCTGTGGTACATAGATTCAACTTAATGTCCACAAAAATAATGACCATCTTTCAGGGTCAATGAAATTTAGATTTTGTTTACTCCTCCGAAGCCACGTTTAACTGTGTTGCCTTCCAACAGGTTTAGGGACCAGTTTAGCTGCAGTGAGTACACATACCTTTCTTCCAAGGCTCTTGTAAACCATTGGGCAGATGAAATTGCCCAGTGATTCATTTATGGATTGGGATAACAGGTGTCGTTAATTAGATTATTAACAGCCAATTCTTTTCTTTGGTTGTTAATTACTTAATTAAGGACATTGTGCATCTGAGTGCATACGGTTTACACACCTCACATTATCTGATCCATTGTCTGTTACAGCAGACAGCACTGCAGAGTCTCAGTTAGGCTTCCCATCACCACTAGCCACGTGGGCGAGATCTCCTTCAGTCGGCACAATAAATATTCTATCAGAAAAGTTGCATCTGAAGAGGCTCTGAGTAGCTAAACAGACGTGAAGGAGATTTTATGGAAAAGCTCTCTGCTTAGAAGGCTAAATGTTCTTTGAACAATATATTTTTGCATGAGGAGGTGATTGAACTTGGCTAAAGTGGGCACTGTTAATATTCTCGACAATCCGTGGTTTCACATCCTGTGTGCTCTTCCTCCCTATATTGAGACTTCCCTTATGGCCATTGGTAAAGGTGCAGTTCCTTATGTCCCATCCCAATCTCTGTTAATAATAATAATCCTTGCATTGGAGTAACTGCAGTACCAATCAGGGATTAGAATTGTCTCCTTCGGGAGGAGGGAAGGAAGCAACAACTTGCATTTGTCTCGTGCCCTTCACACATAGTAGCATCTCAGAACACTTAAAACAAATCTGAACCAAATTAATTTATGTCTCCTTGGAGCAGAGAAGGTTGAAGGGAGATTTAATCCAGATTTTCAAAATTATGAAGGGTTTTGATCGAGTAGGTAATGAGAAACTGTTTCCTCTGGCAGGTGGGTCAGTAACCAGAGGAAACGGTAACTCAGATTTTAGATATTTGGCAAAAGAACCAGAGGGGAGACAAGGAGACATTTCGTTTACCCAGAGAGTTGTTACGGTCTGGAATGCACGGCTTGAAAGGACAGATTTGATAATAACTTTCAGAAGTGAATTGGATAGGGACTTGAAAAGGAAAAATATGCAGGGCTATGGGGCAGTGGGACTAGTTGGTAGCTCTTTCAAAGAGCTGGCATAGGCTCGATGGGCCAAATGTCCTCCTTCTGAGCTGTAAGATTCTATGGTGAGTAATTTTAAATCTAATTGGGATCAGTTCACCTTAGATTAATCCTCTGAGATCTGTAAATATGTGTATTATTTCTGTTGGTGGCAAGAATGTTCCCATCTGTAAATAGCTTTAGATGAAAGACTAAGATGGGTTCTGACAGGCTCTGTGCTTCTCAGATATGAAAACAAGCCTTGCAGTGTTAAAGAATGACAGGAAACAAGATGGTGATTGATGTCTTTTTGTTGCAGACCACCAGAAACTGGAGAGAGAAGCTCGAATCTGTCGTCTCCTGAAGCACGCCAACATTGGTAAGAACAAACCAACCCAGAGCTCGCTGCCCACACTCCATTAACGGAAACCTCTGGTCTCCAGCGCAATGCCTGAAATTTATTCATTTAACTATATTACAGGAACATGCAGAATTTAGGTGTGCAATAGATTAGCAATGCTGGCCTTGCACCTCAGAGACCTGTGTTCAAATCTGGCACAAGTTGATGGGGTGAGAGTTTTCTCTTTGAGTTGACTGGAAGTATCCCCTGTGTGAAGCGAGTTTCAGGCCAGGCTTAGCACCAATTGCTCACATCAGAAAATCGCCCAGGATAAAGCAATCTCTATAAAAGTAGCTTGAGTGGCAGCGAATGCCTCTTTGGCCTGTTACGCTCTCAGATACTGAGGAGGGTAGGGGCTAGGGATGGGGGCGGGGGATTGTAATGGGTGGGAGGGGGAAGTGACAGCCTAGTTTTAGATCAGATTATAATTTAGTACACCCTGCTGGATGGTGAGTGTGAGCCAGACTCTCACTCTTGGATGTGGTTCTCCTTTTTGGAGCTATGATCAATATTCTCAATATCTGTGCACATTAACGATCTTCCCTTTGTGCGGTGGGATTCTCACTGTAACTGCGTGGGAGGTGAAAGCAGGGTGACATATTACAAGATACATATTAAAGTGCTCTGGGACGCTACCCTGTGTGACGGCGCTATATAAATGCAAGTTGTTGTTGTTGATCTCACGCTTCACTGAAACATGAATCATCTTAACAGTTACACTGAAATCCTGAGATTGAATGAATGGGGGTTTGTGGCCTGTTTAAGTACCCTCCAGGCATTGCTAATCCCTATCTTATTGGGGTAACGGAGCTGAGAGAGAGATGTGAATCCAAGGTTGATGTGACAACCTGCGACACCACCATTGAGTTCAGTTATTTTGGGAACACCATCAACAATGCTAAATGTTTATTTTGTGAAAAACCTGTGGACAAGGATGTCGCTATGGTTACGGTAACATCTTTATCTGCCAATCCCTTCAGGATAGAGACCGAACGGCAAAGGTTCACTTGTTCTGCTCTTGAATGCGAAGTTCGGAACGGAACTCAGCACATCAGCAGCGCTACAACCTTTATTATTGATGGCTTCACACAAGGAGGAAAGTAACTGCTTTGAGGAAATGGGTCCCAAAGCCTCCTCCCCTGTGGTTCCATAGGTTACTGCACAGTCACTTGTAAAGAGCATTAAGGTCCCTGATTTATCTCCCTCCAGAGAGCAGCGCTGAGGCAAATAACTTCAGTGTCCCTGGACTGCAGTTATTATAGAGCCTTGTATGTGTTTTATCAGCCAGGATCATGTGAGAAGAGTAAAAAATAATAATAATTTGGAATTTTAATCCAAGACTGTTTATGGGACACTGCTTTGCGCAATTGGCTACCACGTTTCACCCACAAAACATACAAAACACTTGACAGTATATCCTGTGAAGCGCTTTGAGATGTGATAAATTGCTATGTCAAATGCAAGGATTATTATTATTAAACTTTCACTCTTTGCTGCCTCAGAAGTGAAGGACAGCGAGAGTTGAAATATTCAACATTTACATCACTGTTTCCCCTATGTCTTTAACCGACTAATGTGTATGCGTGAAAATTCACAAAATATTTTGTGTTTTCATACACAAAGTCTGGTCCCATGGCTTGCCTCCATCAATCACATAATGGTACCCAGTTAATAGACTCTGCTTGGCTGGGTCCTAATTTATTCCACGCCCACCATCATTATAACGACATACCACACAGGTTAGTGGAGAAACTAAGCATTTAACATAATTGTACTTTTTCAGAATTAGTGAAGCCTTTCTCCAGTAGTAATAATTATAATAATAATCCTTGCAATTGATATAGCGCCTTATCACGTCGTTGAGATGCCTCACGAAGCTGCCTTATTTATAAGTTACACATGACTATATATTATCATCCTTTCCTCTTACACAGGAAGATTGTACCATTCCAGGTCAGAATACAAAGTCAATTCACTTTACAGGATATTCTGTGAAGCGCTTTGAGACGTCTCGAAGACTTGAGAAGATGCTATATCAAATGCAATGATTATTATTATTATTATCAGGCCACCAATCTAACCTTTCCATTTCTAACAAGTCATCACTAGAAATCTACGTCCCATCTCCTCACAGTTGGGACTTACTATACACACACATCGCACAAACCTGTTTAATCTCACCGGATCTAAATAATAGCTAATAATTAATTCAAGAAATAATTATTTGCAATGTTTTTATGAGTAATTGTATGACTCACACCTCTAGTTGAATGCTGTCTGGCAATTTAATGATGTCTGCCACTGGGTTTGGAATTACTTTACAATGCTGTAGTGTCTAATGATGGGAGCCAATGCATGAAAAGGTGTAAGGGTCATCCTGTATTGCTCATTCACACACATTCATCTGTCGCCCACACTCTTTCCTAAACCCAATGTTTCATTATATCAATTGTGAGGCAGCTTGTGATTTGTTGGTTTAACATTACATTGTTTTAGTTTAAAAACCTGTAGGCTTTCATAAGGGGAGGATTCATTACATATAATAAATGATTGGCTGTGGCATGTAGTTACATAGCATTGCTCTGGTTATGTGGAGGATAATCTAGAGATAACTATTGCCAAATATTAAATTTAGATCTGTCTTATGTGAAATAAAATGACGTCTGTAATTCTCAGGATTTTACCAGTGAGATTCGACTAAATTGCGGGCTGGATAACACAAGGTGGAGATTCAGTCACTAGTGAGATCTGGGAAAAGTACTAACAGATAAATAAATAAAACAGAATTAATAACGTGGCTCACTGATGGATTCTCTTCCTCCTCCGCCATCTCACAATAGCGCTATCAAGACTCTATTATGCAGGTTCCTATAAAGCAAACAACGGGGATTATTTACACGAGGAGGTTTATCCACACTAGAGATTTCTTCTCTAATCGGGATATCTGGCTCAGGGCATTGGGTTAGCAGAACGCCCACCCGATGAGACGATCATCTAAGTTTGGGCAGAGCAGAGACAGCTTTACTGTACATCTAAATGAGGTTCCAGATGTTGGAAGGATTGCTACAGATCAACAAAAGTGAACAAGAAATTTCTATTTTTCAAAGTGAACTTTCCTTCAAGGAATTTCACCAAAATGTTATTAAAAAGCAGGTCACAGACAGACTGACAGTGAGCTTGGGAGTCATATAGTGACCCGGAGCCCAATGAACACTCTCAGCTGTCAGCTCCTTCTCTCTGGTCCACTGCTCTCTCCATTGACAGGGAAAGGATTATTAACCACTAGAGATGTTTCTTTCAATTTATTGTCCTTGCAGTTCTCTCATAGCCATTTGTTGTTCTTTGCTGTTGTTGTCAGTAGATCTGTTCAACACTGTGTTGTGTGCGTGTGGGGGGTGAGGAGGGAGTCTGACACCCCCACACGCTCACCTTTCAGCTGAGAGGCTGTGAGTAGTGATGAGGAGCAGGAGCTCTGGCTGATTTCCCTCCCCCTGAGCCAGCAATGGTGATGATAATTGTAGCCTCAACTTGCGCTCCAGCTGAGATTGACTAACTCAGCACAAGCCAGGCATCAAACATGACCTGGTCCTGCCCTGAGCAGAACCTTTAACCGTCACGTCATGAGGACAGCACTACAGGAAGAGGCGACTTTCACTTCACATTCTGACATGAATACATGACAGGCCAACATGTTATTTTCCCACTTGCTGCTTATTTATAGTTACAGCAGCTTGCAAACCTGGGCTCTCTCCTCTCCGCAGTCTGCTTATTAGCACAATCAATGAATTAATTCCCCGACAAGCAAACAGCAGCAGATTGTTAAACTAAATACATTACATCTAATATCAGTAACTAATAATGGAGTGAGCGCTGCCGCATGCAGACAGCGTGAGCACACGCTTCTGAAAGGAAGATAACGTTTTGAATTTCATCCATGTTTAATAGATACCAGGCACAGCATAGAAGAGCAGGGGAATAGCACATGCGTGTGTTTCACACCTAGCACTTGGTATTCACTTGGTGACCCACACAGCCACGTCCTTGGCCTCAGAAGTCCTTCCAGCTCCCACTAGCACCATATAGAAGCATATGGTCGCTCCAGATACAACAAGATTCCATTTAGATTCCATACCAGAATATGAATGAATTTAACACATTTGAATCTAAGGCTGAGGTCTCTATAGAATTTCACCAAATATTTGACAAATATACGGTCAATTCACTTTACAATAGATCCTGTGAAGCACTTTGAGATATCTCGCAATCGTGATAAGGCGCTGTATCAAATGCAAGGATGATTATTATTATTATTAAATACATTCTGCACCACAAAATGGGGAAAACAACCCCTGCAGGAAAGTGTACAATACAGCGTTAAATGTGGGGTAAAGTGGCTGGATCTACTTCATTCGATGGAGATTAGTCATGTTGCTATGTAAAGCTGGCGACTGGTAAATATTGGCAGCTGCCATCGGAATCTGGGATGATGGTGAGCGAGTGGTGATGTGATGAAGTGCAGAGAGAATGGCTGAACCTGAGGACAGTTACCAGGATCCCGAGGCAAGACTTCAGCCCCTGAGTATCAGCTTCAGTCACTTTAACTCCTCAGCTGTGCATTAGAAACAGTGTATTTATTGCACAGTGTAGACAATAACAACAACGACAACAACAACAGCGTGCATTTATAGAACGCCCCTCATGCAGGGTAGCATCCAGAGCACTCAGACTTCCACTAGAAACAAAACTTCCAATATATTTTGATTATGTGTTAGCCATCCTCCTCCGCCTCATTTCCACACCTATTCCTGAAACACACCTGGCCAGGTAACAGGTCACTCAACCATCAGTAAGGGGATGAGGCTATTAACAGCACAGCACATGGCTGAGGGAGAGGGTGGACGTGCGCTTATGAAACACAGCCTTGAAAATCAAACGTATCTTCCTCACAATAACATTGAGTATAAATTATGAAATAATGGATTTTAAAACAATTCACACCATCACTTTGTGAATGTTGCAAACAAAGAGTTGCCTTGGAAACCATCAAAAACGAGGAAGAACTGTACACACTATTGAGTAGACGTATTTGAGATGAACAAAGCAAAACAGGAGAGGGTGTGGGCAAGGTAAGAGCCCATAGAAAGCAAGGCCAAGCTTACACTGAAAGCAAATAGAGAGGAACTTGCAAGATGGGTGAATGTCAGGGTGACACAAAGTTAAAGCTGGGAAGTTAGGAGTTAGAGAAGTCAATTGGAGTAGAAAATGCGACGGTAGAGAGCTGTAGTCTTCGCGTCAGGTACTGAATGGATGGATTAAATTCATTTGACCTGACACCAAGTTATCTATTTATTGGAAGTGGTGTATTGAATTTCTCCATTACCAAAAGGGCAGAAGTCCTCAGTGGGTGGAATGCCTCATCTCACTTTACTCTTGAAGTGGGCAACAAGCTGAAGTTTTATTAATCTAAATTGACTCATAGTGTTTCTATGACAATATCACTTTCAACTAAATGGACAGACACTCGCTATTTATCAGAACAATTTTGTTTGTACAGTGTGTTCCGTATTCTACCGGCCCGCAAGACTATAGCAATCGCTGTGGGTATACAAAGAAATGTAGATGAGAAAGTATATCACAGAAGAGCAGAATACCTCACAATGAACTTCCAGCCTCACACTTACTTTAAGAGACACTAATTGTGTGAAAACGACCACACACTTCTAATCAAATCATGTTGTGCAGAATTGGCTGCTGCTTTTCACCCACAAAAAGTCACTCCACCTTACAGTACATTCTGTGAAGCGTTTTGAGACATCTCAACGACTTGATCAGGCGCTATATCAAATGCCAGGATTATTATTATTATTTGAGTTTAAAATGTGCTATTCGTAATGAAGTCACAACTATTGACAGTAACGGGAGATATATCTTAGCTGTCGCGCAGGGAGACATGTCAGTGTGATACCTGTCCTGACTGCTAGCACTTGCCATTTCGGACACTAGTTGTGAATGCTCTTATTGTGTTGTTTTTAGAAAATAAACATCAAATTCTCTTCACTTTAAAAAAAACAAGGCGTCCGGACATTTTAATAGCAGATGATGGCTGAGATTCATTTCAAAAGGCTTCTAAGTGAGGGCATGTTCTTTAAGTAACAAACATCATGAAGTTTTATTCTGATAAGTATGGGGAGTTTTCTAGTCATTCCTTGTCGGCCAAAACTGTCCTCCTGCAATCAATGCTAATACATGGACACTCAGTCTATGGCTAGAATACTTAAGCAGCTTATAACCCTCGATTCAAGTTAAATTGCATATATTACACAAAATAATGGGTGACGGAGGGATTAGAGACATTTTCATCTCGGGTCTGGCTATTTTATTAATACAGATATCAGCCAAACTCAACCAGAGACCTCACGGACCAGTGTCTAACCTACCAGGTGTAATTATTGTGAATGGTGGTGTGAAGCCATGTACAACCTCAACCAGGTAGAAACACAAACAGTGACTCTGATGATTCCCTTGACAGAAACTTACTGTAATGTCCAGAATAAACACTGCAATTTCCAGTGGCCAATGGGAATTTGATCAGTTTAGTCCAGAATTAAGGGCACATCTTGCCCTGTGGACAAATACACTTAGGAAATGAACCAAGACTGCCCTCAAACGCATTTCATACAGGGACCCATTTGGTCAATAGGAAGGAGAGACTTTCATAAGTTGCTGTCCTGTTGTTAGACTGGATTCTCTGAACTTTTTGTTAGATTGTTTGAGACACCTAGAGGTGTAGCGATTGTTGAATATTTTATTCTATTCAATGAATAATTTCTTTGGGAGCTTTTATCAGCATCGCTAGTATGACAGCATAAAGAATCAGAGTTTTCTTATTCACAGAATGAAGTGAAATTAAGAGGCTGTCGTTTTGATTTTTCTCTCTTACAATTACTTTAACACTGGCCCCTGTCTTACAGTCCGGCTCCATGACAGTATAGCAGAAGAAGGACATCACTATCTCGTGTTTGACCTGTAAGTATAGCTTCATATTTATCAGAGTTGGTAAAGCTTTCAGCATTCCTTCACAAAGCGCATCCTGTTCAAAGTTATGCAAATGTGTCCCCACAGCCTGATACATAACTAAAGCAATGCTAAAAGTATAAACAGATGCTAAATGAAATTGTGATTCGAAATTGCATTAAAAATATGATTTACATCTAATTTTTTTAATATTAATTGGTTCTAACTGTACAGGGAGAGAATTGCAAAACTTACAGAACAGAGGTAGCAGTTAGCCACAGAGCTTACCGTGTCTCTAACCATGTTGACACTGACATGGGAGTTGGACAGTGTAAAGGGAGCTTTACTGTGTCTCTAACACTGACCTGGGAGTGTGGACGGACGCACAGTGTAGAGGGAGCTTTACTGTGTCTCTAACCCTGACCTGGGAGTGTGGACACACAGTGTAGAGGAGCTTTACTGTGTCTCTAACCCTGACCTGGGAGTGTGGACACACAGTGTAGAGAGAGATTTATTCAGTCTCTAACCCGCGATACCACTGACCTCGAAAAGGCCAGGATGTTGATGCTGAAATGAGAAAATAATTTTTCAGTTTTTCAGAAATAATAGTGAAAAACACAAAATTCACCAAAACATTTGGTTAAATTACGCTCGAGAACCTCCAAAGATTTTATACAATAGATGACACTTACATTGCTGGTCTGACAGTTCCAAAGAGGAAAGAATTCAATATATCTGCAGGAAGTGGTTACATCAACCATCGCTGACAGATGGACACAGTTCAATTAATGGAACTGATCTGAATGTTTATTGAAGTGTGTTTGAAGGGCTCCCAATGTGTCTGAATCAGCAGTCCCGTAATTCACTCCAACCTGATAAGTGGCCAAGTTCATATCTCCCAGGAAATCCCAATTGAGAGAATTCTCCAGGCTCTAATTTCACTAACCTGAGACTTGCCAATAATATTAGTAAGTTTCACAAATCATCCATTGTTCAGTGTACTCTTTGCAGCCGAACAAGATAGCTTAATAAAGTGCGGACTGACGAGAGGGTTCACATTGCTACCACAGTTACAGTCACCTTCCTTATAAAAGTCATCAGATCGGATTCTCCTCAGGGGCTTGATGCACTGTGCAGTAAGGGAATGAGCCATACACATCTAGTTTATCGCTTGGCTGTGTTTGCTGGTTTCTGGCACTCAGTTAATTGAAACACTACAATTGGGAGGAGTGGATGAGATCAGTTTGATTGCTCCCCATTGCCTGTTGCTTGTGTTCGGATGTCAGCTGTAACGTCCCTTGCCACTGTCTGTCCTGGTCAACAATTCCCCCAAATAAAAATTGGTCGCTCCCTCCACGGCTGTTTGCGGGACACTGCTGTGCACAAACTGGCTGCTGAGCTTTGCCCACAGTTTATAGTCAATCCACTTTATACTATATTTTGCGAAGCACTTTGAGACGTCTCAACCACTTGATAAGACGTTATATCAACTGCAAGGATCAAGGACCGTAAGCTCTTGTTCTGGTTGTTTTTCTTAACCCTGCGATTACCAGTAAGGCCGGGGATATTCCTGTCAGGCCCTTTCATCGGACATAATGAAATGATACAAATCTCGTCAAAACATGTCACTTAGTTCCTCGGCTCCTCAGCAAGCCTCTCTCTCTGCTGTTATAATGACACGAATGACATAGAGGAGTTCTGTGGTTTTCCTTTCATCAGCATGAATGTGTTGGCTCTTTAACAAGGCAGTCACTGCGAGGAATAACAGAAGAAATGGCTAAGAGATACCTGGGGCTACAGCACAAATGTCAGAGCGTAACATCTCCCGCTCCCTGGGTCTCTGCTCCACAGTCACTGCTAAGCTTTAGCTTCCCGAGAGGATGCTCAATTCCACGCCAGGTTTCCACAGGAGATTGTCTGACTAACAGGATCCTGCTGAACTACCATTGGGCAGAATGTGTGAGAGTAGCGCCATGGACTAGACACCATCTCATGTGCTGCTGGAATATAATTAGCAATTTGCTGAAACGCAAGAGAAACAGTGTTTTGAAATACTGTGAATCAAAGAATTCTCAACTTTCTTTTCAAAACTCTCATTCTGTTGGTCTACTTAACCCTTTCATATGAAGGGGAGTGGATATCTGGAACTCTCTCCCTCCCCCAAAGGCTGTGGATTATGGCTGGATTCATTCACATTGTCCAGACTGAGGTGGAGAGATGTTTGTAGGTCAGAGTATCAAGGGATATAGGGCAAAGGCGGATAATTGGAGTTGAGGTACAGATCAGCCATGATCTTATAGAATGGTGGAACAGGCTCAAGGGGCTGAATGGCCTCCTCCTGTTTCTATGTTCCTAACCCTATTACCAGTAGGTCCAGGGAAATTCTTGTCTTGATTGATTTAGGTTTCATCTCACGCCTGTCGATCCTGAGACATTAACAATAGTAAAGCACCCTGATGTTAGCTCGATTTTGAAATGACCTATGCTACTCATTTATTCCCCACGTCTGTTTCTCTGCTCGTTAAATGAAGTAGATTTATTGATTGGCAAAAGCTGTTACTTGGAAATTTTGGCAAATTTTAAAGCCCCAAATAATCAAAATAATATAAGTTTAAATTTTTGCATAGAGAAACAGTGTAAACATTACCACAGTATATTTTCTTATATCTCTAGAAATTCCTTTGAACAGAAAGTCTTCTCTCTAGACCGTGCAGCGGCACCTTATTACAATTCAGGATTTTACAGCTAATTTCAGTTACATTTTCACATTTGTGTTAAAATGTAATTGAAATAGGTTCTAAAAAACAGAGAATGTGGTGGCTTGATGAAGGTTGTGTATTGTGTGTGACGAACTCTATTGTGCTGTGGTCACAGTGAAAATCAGGTCTCAAGCATTACATTTTCTTCTCAAAACCAAGCTCCGAAATAACAGGCTGGCAGCATCGCTCGCCTGATTAAATTATAGGTTTCACAGAAACTATGCTCAGTGCCTGTCCTCGGGCGCGGGCAGAGAAGGGGTGAAAAGCTAAAGTGATAGTCAGATTACATTGCAGTGCAGATCAATTACCTAATATATATGTCAATATTTCCTCTTAAATCTAATGAGATGAGACTTTGTTATGTCTCAGTGGGAAACCCTACTGGTCAGAGTGAACTGACACACACACACACGTCTAAAACCCGATCTGACCACTGGCTTTCACCAGAGTAATGACAGACAGACAGACTGACTGAATGACTGTAAATTACCCCAGAGGGTTTAGGGTTGAGAGGAGGACAACTTGTCACATCACTCCATCACTAACCAGTGTCAGTGGGTCAGGGGCAGTATTGTAATTGGCTGTTATGTGACTCTCAAACACATCCCCTGCACACACTCACTGTGTAGATTGACACTGGGCCGTGGACTGTCCCTCAGTGACAGTCATTCCTCCAGAGAGGAGCAGTGAACATTAGAGGAGAAGAAACAAGGAATAAGCCTTTCCCATCCAGGGCCTCAGACCAAACCTGAGAAAGCCTCCACTCTGCATCAAGAGAATTTAGATCAACTGTGTATTTCTCCCCAGTGGTGACTCTCAGGCTCTCTATCTGACATTGTGACTGTAATAAACCACCCAGGACGGCTGGGAACACAGCAGGGAGATAAGCCACTGGAAGAGAATAGACAACTTAACATTTGGAGTCTGACAGCTCTGAAATATTGATACTAATCCACTGGCTGATCGGCTGCAGAATTTGTCTGTTTTTATTTCAGATTTCTTTCCGTGGCAAGTTTTTAGTTAGTCCCTAACATGACATCGGGTTCGGGATAAAAACCGTCCTGCTCGACACGAGCCAGCTGTGCGACTGATGCTGGTGGAGGGATGGGGCCAGGGTTAAACACTGCGGATGTGCGGCAGGAGGATTCCTTAGAGTTTATTTGGATATGCCAGAGAGAAGGAGTAATCAGGCAGCGTTTTCCCCAGGAGATACATAGATGGAGACGATAGCCAGGTAGATTGCAAATGGCCTGTGGAATTTGCCTGATGGATTCCATGGCCCTTTTTCCATCCAGTGCCTTTCTTACCTCTTAAACTTTCTTCCTAACACACCACAGAGCAATCAAATTGTTTAATTGGCAACGGATTGTGAAAATGTAAGTAAAATAATCTCGGACTCTGGTTCTAATCAACAGAGCGTAGCCATCAGCCCAGCTCAGCCAGGCAAATCCCACCTCTTTCTCGGCAGATGAACGCCCGAGGATCCAATGCAGTTCATAAACACAATAGAGTTTCAACTAAAGGAGGGAGTCATCCAGCATATGAGCAAATGCTGGTCAGCCGAGCTATCTACTTCCGACACAAACCCCGTCTCTTTCACATTCCCTTTTGTTGCTTTTTATTGATGGTTCTGGGAGTTGTGTTATGTACACACAGCAATGAGTTTTCTCTCCTTCATTCCCTTCACAGAGTGACAGGTGGAGAACTGTTCGAGGACATCGTAGCCAGAGAGTACTACAGCGAGGCTGATGCGAGGTGAGGGTCGGTGTAGCTCTCTCTTCGACGCCTTCTTTAAACTGAGAAGATATTGAATTTGAAAGCTGCAGACTCTTTACTGTGGCTGATTATAATGCCAGCTGGGTATTGGGCACAGTTAAGCTGCGAGGAGGAGGTAGTGGGTGTAGAATGATGAACAAGAGAGAAATGTGCAGATAGCAGCAGTAATGAATAGAAAAGAACATGAAGGGTGTGACAGGGAGAGGGGGACGAAGAGCTTGAAAGCCAGTGGTTACACTGCGTCGCGCTCTTCTACAACCCATCCAATTCCCATTAACCCTTCCACCCCAGAGAGACATTTACACATCTGAGCATCTGGGTGCTGTCAGGGTGTGAAGTTTATCATCCTCTATGTAACGTCCTAGTGGCAGCTGGGGAGTTAATAGAAGAGCTCTTAGACAAGTTGCCTTACTTCACACGCCTCTGTTTACCCAGGACTCATTAGTCGATTGGAAGATCGTTTTCCAGGGGTAATAATCCCTTCCAAAAAAAAATGGTCACTCGATCCATGACTGTTTGTGGGACACTGCTGTGCACAATTAGGTGCCATGTTTCGCCCACAAAATAAAATTGATCCACTTTACAATATATTCTGCAAAGCACTTTGAGATGTCTCAACAATGTGATAATGACAGCCAGCCCATTTAAATATTCCCTCTTGATGTGAAAAGTGCTATGCAAATGTAATTTGCTGTTGTTGTTTCCTAAGTGTTGTACAACTACTGAAACTGAACGTTTCTTGCTATATATTCTCAGTCACTGTATTCAGCAGATTCTGGAAGCTGTGCTACACTGCCATCAGATGGGAATCGTCCATCGAGACCTCAAGGTGAGATGTCAGGGAGAAAACAACCTAGAATGCTTTCTTAGACATATAGCTCGTGAATCAATGCTGATTGATAGTGAGTTACTACCTTCTCTTTCTGTTTACTCGCCCCGAGACAGTGTCCTGCACGAAGGGCATGTTGTTGTTTTCAAAAGAAAAGTTGCATTTATTGGGAGAAATGATGCCCAGGTCTATCTGTGTGCAAATAGGATTGCGATCAAATGAAAACAAGTCCATGACTGGGGATTGGTTAACTTAGTGGGTTAGACACTGGCCTGGCGTTTCTCGACATGTGATTGTAATCAAGCCTAGATTTAATCAAGTCTGTCTGCAAACTGTCTGGCAAAAGGATTCTACAACACGGTGTTTTATTTCTTCTCTCGAAAGCCTGAGAACCTACTGCTGGCCTCCAAGTCTAAGGGAGCAGCAGTGAAGCTGGCTGACTTTGGGCTTGCCATCGAGGTGGAAGGAGATCAGCAGGCGTGGTTTGGTGAGTAAGGAACATCTCACATAATGAAATAGCAAAAACTGTGGCTTAGGGTCTACTTTCATCCCTGAAAACAAGGGATTGAATGCAGCTCAGACTTGTGGAGGAACGGACAATCATTCCTTCCTTGCAAGGATTGCAAAAAAAACAATGAAATTGTCTCTGTGTGTTTATATTGGGATTTCCCATTATCCAGACCAACAGAAATATTAGAATGTATTATGAATGGAATATAGTAAATATGGTTATGGATTTATACAAAAAAAATTGATCATTCAACCCATGACTGTTTGAGGGACACTGTTGTGCGCAATTGGCGTTTCAACCACAAAAATAGTTAACTCACTTTACAGTATATTCTGTGAAGCGCTTTGAGACGTCTCAAAGACATGATAAGGCGCTATATCAAATGCCAGGTTTATTATTATCATTTCCAGAAGGTGTCAGGTAAGAGGCGTGTTACAAAAATGAAGACCTGTGATACATAGAAGATTATAGAAGCAGGTAGACGGGTTTGTGTGGTGGGCAGATAAGTAGCAAGTGGAATTCAATTCTTATTTTTTGTGTTGTGCTTCAGGCTTTGCTGGCACGCCCGGCTACCTGTCTCCAGAGGTGTTGAGGAAGGATCCTTATGGCAAACCTGTGGACCTCTGGGCTTGTGGTAAGGAACTGTACAGAAAAAACAGAAAATTATGAGAAAATTGCAGGAAAAAGCATGTTATTATGGAGTAAACTAATAATACAAATTTTCAACTGATTGAAGATATGAGGGTAACACAGAACTGAACATCAGTTTGGCTTTTCAAAGTTTGATTGATTAATAGAATAGAAGTAGTAACAATGTCTGTGATTGTGGAGTCAAAGACCCAACTTATAACCTGTCTCCCTGTCTCTTCCGCTACTCTTGACAGGTGTCATTCTGTATATCCTACTTGTTGGCTACCCTCCATTCTGGGATGAAGATCAACACAGGCTCTACCAACAGATCAAAGCCGGGGCCTATGATGTGAGCGTTTACTGTACATTCATTGCTAATAATGACCCTATTCCTCCCAAGACACTTCGCAAAGAGAGGGAGTGTGAATAGTCCTCTAGAAAATGAATCACTCAATTTGTGACTTTTATGGAGTTTTGCTATGGCAAATCAGTCATTGCATTTGACAACAAATACACAGTAACTACACTTGACAGCAATTAGCTGTGAAGCGCTTTAAGCATTTTAATGTTATATGTTATAAAAATCTTTCTTCTAACTTCCTCAGTTTTCTTCTGCTGACAATCCTCGACTCACAACCTCTTGTTACTTATTTAATCCATCATTAACACTCATTGCTACTTACCCTCTGAAACCAATCAGAATGTTGAAAGCGCCTGTGTTTTTCACTCGTGTGTAGTTCCCGTCACCGGAATGGGACACCGTGACTCCAGAAGCAAAAGACCTCATCAACAAGATGCTGACCATTAATCCCTCCAAACGCATCTCAGCGGCTGAGGTTCTCAAACACCCCTGGATATCCGTACGTTTGTATTCAGGATAATATTCTAGTATTGTCAACTGGCTCTTTGCGGCAGACGAGTTAAACGGGTTTGAAATGATCAGAGTGCTAGTTACTCCTCTCGTCAGGTTTCACGTGGCATATTGTGGATAGTATTCGTTACCGAACCATATGGTTCTATAGGCATAAAGATGAGACAATAAGGCTGGTCCGCACTGATACAGCAGTGAACAATTTGGACCAGATGAATTATCAGCCTTGAAAATAGACTTAGGGGGATCTTAAAGAGAGACATAAAATGGTAAATGGAATAGAGAAAGTAAAACCAGTTGTGAGATAGATTTTGAGATATGCACAGTTACAAGAAAAATCTAAATTCAGAATATTAATCAATGATATCTTTCAAGTTTGATTTAGAAATGATAAATAATCCTGGAGGGCATTGTAGTACTTTTTCCAACGAATATTAATTTCTCATTATTAACACATTTCAAAATGTTTATTGTTTAATAGCATCGTGCTACAGTGGCCTCCTGCATGCACAGACAGGAAACCGTCGACTGTTTGAAGAAATTCAACGCAAGAAGGAAACTCAAGGTACATTTTCTTAGTTGTTTGACCACATGGAAAAAGACTGAGATCAGTTAGTGAGCACTGCTGGGAAACTGAAGCTGGTCAGTCCCCTTTAGGCTTTGATCTCCAAAGTCTGTGGTGTTGTAATTTCTGTTATTCTGCTCTACAATAAACTCAGTGATGACCAGAATCTTGGGTCTTAGGAACATAGGAACAGGAGTAGGCCATTCAGCCCCTTGAGCCTGTTCCACCATTCTATGAAATCATGGCTGATCTGTACCTCAACTCCAATTACCTGCCTTTGCCCATTTCCCTTGATACCTTGACCTAACAAATATCTATCCACCTCAGTCTTGAAAATTTGAATGGATCCAGCCATAATCCACAGCCTTTTGGGGGAGGAAGAGAGTTCCAGATTCCCACTGGCCTTGCACAGAATGACCGCGGAACACAAAATACCAGCAATACATATTTCACAAAAATCATGTCTTTAAATATAAACATATTGTGTATTGCAGGGTGCCATCCTGACCACAATGCTGGCCACCAGAAACTTCTCAGGTAAGGCAGAGCAGATGCTTCCTTCAATGTGCTGCCAATTGCGCAGCAACATTCACATCCACCATGTAAACCGCTGTGCTTCCATCGTGAAATCACCTGCATGTGAAGCCACATCCACTCAGTTCTAGTAGAGACGCTGCCTGGCATCAGGAAGAATGCTAGGAATACATGTTAATACCTACTCAGTCAGAGAGGATGCCCCAAACCTGGCCTGTAGAGATACACAAATAGGTAAGGTACACAATGGCCATATTGGGTTATCCAATTGCCATTTGGATATACATAATGAGAATAATCCACAACCTTAAAATATTAAATAATTAACTTGAAGAGCATTGTGATTAGCCAAAGGAACATGCCAAATTTGTGCCTTTTGTTTCTCCTTCCAATGTCCTCCCTCCTCTCCTGAATGTATCGGGGTACCATTCCTCAGTTCCTCCAGGACCTCCCTCAAATGACCATTATGTATGTGCGAGTCTAGAAAGTGGAGGCTATAGGACCATAATGTGAGGGCATCACAGCCAAACTCAACTTTTTTCCTCACCAGTCGTCTACACACATTTTCCAGTTATATATCACGAGGAGCAAGAACACTGGTTAATAGTTTCCCCCTTTCCCACTAGCACTGAGGCCAATATTATCCTTAACTGCTACCCAGCTGACAATAGCTATCCCAGCACAGTCTGGCTTCTATATGTAATATACATAAGTGAAAAGTGAGTGAACAGTCTGCTATCACAAACACAGTAATAATTGGGTTGGAGTTTGCTACAAGACTATGACACAGTCAAGAGACTCAAATGGTGGCTTAAACCAGGACAATAGTTCACATTGTCCTCAGAATCCCAGAAGTTTGCACTCCAACCCAACTGTTCTGCATCACCATTGTCACTTGACCATTACTCTGGGACTTACCATTGTGTGCTATGGATACCCGTCCACAGAATGTGCATTATTGCTTCCAGCAATCACTTCTGAGTTTCCATCTTTTGTTTGTGTGGCTATCTGATGTCACTGTTTCTCTTTTGCTTTGTTGGGCAAATGTTTGATTGTCCACCCTGTGTTGATTCCAACACAGTTAGGGGGTTATAATACCTGCACATCCCCTCACATGGGAGAGAGAAGCATTGTGCTGTGCAATTGCACTCTGCCATCCATGCTCCCCTCTATCCCAACAGGCTGTGTCCTGGCATCACTCACCCCCACCCATTGCCCAGATAGTGGGACCAGAGTGACACTGAGCCATACAGACCTGGAGGATCCCAAGTTAGGTCTCTGGTCGATGCTGAGTTAGCTGATCTCAGCCAGGCTGGCACTAGGGGGCACTATAGTTGGCCTCGTGGCTCCCTGGGCTTGGGAGAGGGGCAATACAATCAGCCCAGTTTCGCTTGCTGATGGCTGTGTGGTTGCTCCTGCTGAAGGTATTAGTGTTTGGATGGCACTGGGCTTGGTTGTGATGCCCTCTCTGCCAACATTTACCAGCTGGAGTCCCACATGAAGAATGACCACTTGGGCAAGGTCAGCACTCTGGGAATTGTCCTCCGGGACACGTTAGCACCTTCAGGAGAGGAGGGGAAAATATTGGTGACGAGAGAGAGTTTACCGCTAACACAATGCAACCCCTGTTCTTATTCTGTCTTCCTTCCTGAGCTAAGGTATTGGGTTTTATTACTTAAAGTTTCTATCCCTATCTTTCCTGTTAAACCATTCCAGCACTAACCAACATTTTACCAACAATTGGTAAGTAATCAGTGATTTTTGACATAAAAATACTGATGTTATCATTTTTTTTTGCAAAATAAAAGAAGACTTGGGAGTGTTTGAAGTCCTCGGATCTGCTGCCAATACACCCCAAGCCAGCTGTTATTTTATACGTTAACACCTTTCTTCCAGTCACATGATTAATATCATGCATTTGCTTCTCCAAACAAGGCATTGTAACATGCACGTACGTCACTCATAGAGTTTGATATGCAAAGAATTATTCCAAATGGATAGAGAGTTGGCATGATGGCAACGCACTGTGCCAAGGCATCTGGGTTCACCCCTATGATTGTGTGCCTGGCAGTCTGAGCACGGACATGAGGGAGAGGGGGCGATGGAGAAAGCAGCAACAAGTGTTACCATAGAAATTTAAGGCACAGAAGAAACCCATTTGGCCCATCGTGTTAATACAGATCCCATCTACACCCGTACAATACAGTGTGAAGACTAATTTGGAACCCCGCACCCCCAAAAAAGACTTGAGTATTGAGCAAATCACGAAGGAAAATATGAAAAAGATAGGGAAATCCATCCCTCAAATTCACTCACAGTTTTCAGAAGTTGACAGATTTTAACCCACATTGATGCACATTGTGATCCTTCTCTCTGACAGGATAGAGGTGTGCTCTGTTAGGCTGATGTATATTCCACTGCCCACGACAGGTCCTATTCCATTCAGAAAAACATAACTGTAACATGTCTCTTCAGTAATGCAAATTGGGGTTTCTATTGCTCTCTGGAGTTCCACAGATAAATCAAATTGTTATGCAGTACAGTGAGTGCTCACATCTGTGGCCGAGAATTAAATCTGCTTTCAATGGATTCAGGAGATACCATGGGACAGAGCGAGGAATACACTGCCTGTTACACAAGATTGCCATTGGTACAGAATACAGTCACTGGGTTTGGTTCATGCATGTACCAGTTCCACGCTTTGTATGCCTTTTTTTTCTACTTGCTTTCCATTAACAAGCAACTGCTTACTATAAATGTATTGATCAGAAACATTACCTCTCAATGTGATGTATTTATGATCCGGTTCCTTTGAAGACTCAATGCTTTGCAGCTTTTGAAAATGCCGTCTCTTTTTCATCCTGTGAAGAGTCTGTTAAAAGTGTCCTGAAGAACTGTGACGCAGGCAAGGTAAAACAGAGACACTTCAGTCCCAAGGGGAGAGAGCCTCTGTCTTCTTCCCTGTGGGTAAAATGTACCAATCTATCAGTGGCTAGGGTGGGTGGTAGAGGCCGAAACATTGGACTTAGCTTGATGTTGTAATAGAGAACAGTTGGGTTAGTGTTCAGGATAGATTTTATCAAATGGGCCAATGGCTTTTCTTCATTTCAACCTGCTTTTTTTTGATGTTATGAGAATACTTCCTCCTTCCCCCAAAAATATATTGTAGCTTCCCTCAGTGATTCAGTGTGAAGTGTTCTGGGGCAGAACTGGCTCTAGAAGCCAAGACTGGAGAAGCCAGACAGGTCCACTGTGATCCCATGCAGATGATCTCAGCCAGGGTGATGGTGGATACACTTCAATTGACCTCAGCGATCCTGACTGCCGCGGAAGTCTCAGTCATGCCACTCATTCCCCTGCCACGTGCCTACGAATGGAATTGGATGAACACTTACTGTGCAGCATAACACAAGAAGAAAGACCACTAGAGTGTGGTAGAGAGGGCACTTGTGCAACTGGATCCCACTGCAAGTCAACAACAACTTACATTAATATAGCACCCCTCATGCAGTGTAGTGTCTCAGAGCGTCAGGAGAAGAGGGAGGAAAGAACTGAGAACTGCACAGTTTGAATGTTCTATTCGGGGCTGATAACAAGTGCAGCTCTATCTTACAGAATGAGATGGTCAGGATATTGCTTATTCCTGGAGCCACAGAGGGAATTTTAATTCAGTTTGTAACATCTCAACATGTATTTCTTTGCCCCATTTTGCAGGAGGAAAGAGCTCTGTGAACAAGAAAACAGATGGTGTGAAGGTAGGACCAAAGTTTTTACTTTGGATTTAATTTTCATTTTCTATCGAACAGGAAACTTTCAAAAGCTTATTTATAAATGATCCTGTCTGGCCTGGCCAAGTGGCTGGGTCCTCATGGTGAGTTTATCAGCTGTTTCGCAGCGAATTTGCCCCCGAGGTGTGAACATTTACCAGATTTGTGACTTGGGAGTTTTTCCATTGTAATAAGCTCATGGAAATCCATTGCTTCCACTCTTACTAATTGCGGTTGTTTTGGTTTTTGGTGAATTTTGGCATGTGTTGGTGCTGGGAAACAGAACACTTTCCCATTCAAGGCATCTCCAGAGTCAACATCAAGCACTCTCTCGGTCAGGCACCATGTCCCAACAATGTGCCTCAAGTTTAGGATTACAATAGCGCCCTCCCTACTGCAGCAGTGTGAGTTTTGAGTTCCACACATTCCCCGGGGTTTGCTCAAATTAAATTTGCCTTTTTAGTACTAAACTCAATATAGTGCCAAGTGTTGTACTGTAAGCCAATGCTCATTGGATTTAGGAATGTCCAAAAACATCTCACACAGGACTCTTGCAGCTAACTAACTTGGGAGCCTTTTATTGGGCTGGATTCAAACTCAGGTCCCACGGGTGCAAAGTCAATGTCACAGCCCATAGTGTATGATAATCCACAGCACACTATGTTTGCCAACATCTGTCTGTCATCGCAATCTGCTTGCGGGTTAAGTACCAGGAGATTTCAAGTGTAGAACACTTCACACAATGGATTAATCCTGCTAACTCCTGTAATGTGGATTCATAAGGACCATTGGAGATATTTACACAAAAATATAAACTTTAGTTTAAAGCTTAAGAGATCCCTTTTTTATATTCAGAAATACTTCTGTTCAATATCAGACATGCCTCCCATTGTTGGCCTGTAGATTGAGATTGCAAATAATAGTAATAATCATTCTATTTGTTATAGATCCTTTATCGTGTTGAAATGTCCCAAAACCAAATTGTCTCTGAGTCATCATTTGAAATGATTCCAGAAACTCATCCTATCCTTTGAAAACACCATTTATTATTTGCTAAATTCACCAAGGAAATGACTAACCCTATTTCTTTAGTACATATCACAAACAACTTAAGTGACAGGAACAAACTAATTCTTTCTTTGTCTTTCACAAACCTACGCCTCCCCCTGTTCATCTTGCCTCACTCTCTTGACTGCTGTGCCATCTTTTCCACCCATCCTATCCCTCGCTTTTCCTCCCCTCGTTGCCACATGTTCCTAACCTCATCATTGTTATTTTCCCTCTACAATATCTTGTTCTGCTCTATCCTCTTTGCTCCTCCATTGCACTGAAATTGAAAATCTCCACCGATTGACTCTTCTACACAATCCTTGCCTTTTCCAACCCTCCGTCCCCCCGCCCCTCCCTCCCTCCCCTCCAGAAGAGGAAGTCTAGTTCCAGTGTTCAGCTGATGGTAAGACTTTTTATTCCTTAGATTCATGACCTTTCCAACCTGCCACACTGTTAGTGGAAATACAACTCCTACAATGAACATTCCTCATCCTTGAAATAAAGGCTGCTCTTGGGGATTGGGTGGTGCAGTGTCTCTGGCTTCTGCCTTTCATCTCTGGAACCTGACTTTGAATTCAGGCCAAACATAGAGGACAACATTTTCCTCTATCTGGTGGCTGTCACGCCCTTAATATGACCCTAAATTGGTAATCGCATTCAGAGAAGGTGGCAGGTGTAAAGATTGAAAATGTCACACTGGTGCAGTAGAAAGCGTCCTTGGAATTGGGGCAGACAAGAGGATACTTTTAATCATTACTCTACTCCTGAACTGGGAGTGCTTCACACTGACACAGGGAAACCAAAATGGGAAGGTGTTCCATTTCCCAGCACTAACTCCCCTTACCCCTGATGATCACAGAATTCTTTGACGAGAATTCACTGAATCATCACAGATTTCACCGAGCGAACAGTTATTATTAGTGGGGGCTATTGCCAAGGCTCAATCTCATTCTTTCTCCTCGCCTTGTGTCTGCAGAATCACTGCAGTGCCAGGCACTCATACAGTAACAGCAGCTCATAACAATTAGCTGTCTCTCAAAACCCCTCTTTCCCACTAGGAAGATTACGTGAACAACAAGGTAAAAATATCCGAGCTGAATAACACCAAGAAGTCAACCTCAACGATTGATGCTTCTGTAGCAAAGCTTCAATATGAAAATAATCAGAACTGATATACATTACTGTTCTAAAATCTTACCATATCGTCAAAATCACACATTAGGAGGCAATAGGAAAGAAGACCATGTGATATCGATATTTTTTAGTCAAAAAAGATTTGCTATTCCTGATCTCAGTGAGAGAGGCAGTGAGCCTCAGGCAATATGACACATTTGGTGCATTTGACATGTTCTTATACGTTATAATCGGTGATCAGTAGGTTTTAGTATCATAGGTTTGAAGGGACTTCAATGTGGAGTTGGGTTGCATGGAAATCTCAGCTTGGTTTGGATACTATCAAGCATGGTGCTGGGTTTCCGCCTGTGTCAGAAATCCAGCTGACCAAGAAAATAGGTTATGAAGTTGCTTCAATATTTTGAGTTATACTGTGGTCAGTTTGTGGATTGCTTGCTTAGCTTAGGTTACTTCTGCTGGTGACTATTTTGTCTTTCCTCCTAGGAATCCTCAGAGAGCACAAACACCACAATTGAGGATGAGGATACAAAAGGTAAGGCTGGTAGAGAAAGATTCTGATCTAGTAACCTGCAAGATTCCCAAAGCATAAAACAAGGTAATGATGGGTGTCCTGCACCCACAGAATCATTATCCAGTGAAAGGAATATCAAGAAAATTGGCTGAGAAGGAAAAGTAATCAAAGATCATTATAATACCAATCGATGCATTATTATCACAGAAGGACGATACAATAAAAAGAGCACAGCAGCTTCACGACAGTAGTTTCCTATAACTTTGATGAAGCACAGGAAGGAAATGGCTCTGTGGGATGTGTTTTTGCCAATGGTGCGTTCAAGCAACCCTTGTAGAGATGCCTTGAAGGAGAGCCTGAGGCAGTCAATTTACATTTTTTTTCCCTGGCATTTTCAGTGCGTAAACAGGAGATTATTAAAGCAACTGAGCAGCTGATAGAAGCAATCAGCAATGGAGACTTTGAAGCATATACGTAAGTCCATTCGATGTCCGTTTTATCATCATTCAGGAATAAGATTGGCTACGTTTGTACCAATTAACAGATGTTCACTTAGCTTCATGAGTTATCTAAAAACATTATTGCTCAGTGTTAAATGTGCGTCATTATCTCAGAGACAGCATATCCTAGAATGTTTATAGCCCAATCAATGTGTCTGTGTTGATGCTAGTTTCATCAGTTGCAAATAATCTCATTAAGAGCCTTTTCTTTGATAAAACTGAAAACCCAACTAATGAAGTTAGCCATTGTCACAGCAATGACTTGACGTGTGCCGTCACTTCACAATAGGAAATGCTGATTGTACCAGGGCAAATAAAGGCATTTATGGTCTTACCTAAAGGTTAATCAATTGGCTTCCATTGTAACTACGATGTTTTGGTGTTACAGGAAGATGTGTGACCCGGGTGTCACTGCATTCGAACCTGAAGCTCTGGGGAACCTGGTGGAGGGGCTGGACTTTCACAGATTCTACTTTGAAAACTGTAAGTAACTATTGTCCCTTCATGTAGTTTGTGATATATTTTTAGAGTTCAATTTATCTCTGCCCTTTCAGTATTGTAACTATTCAATAAAACCTATGCAGGGCTATGGGGTAAGCATGGGGGGAGTGGGTTAGTTGGTTGCTCCTTCAATGAGCCGGCAAGGGTGGACCCTCTCCAATGCCAAGAGGTGACACAGCCAGAGTGTCTTGACTTTAAGTGTTAAAAAGTTTAAACAGTCTTGCGTTCATTAATTTAACGCATGAACACATGAATTCTTTTCAATAAGGCCATGGATGAGTTCTTGGGCTTATGAAACACTTACATATGAGCTGTAATATCGTTGTTTGTTGTTGAACGTTGCATTTTCCCCAGTGTGGTCCAAGAACAACAAGCCTGTCCACACCACCATCCTGAACCCTCACATCCACCTGATCGGGGACGAGGCGGCTTGCATCGCCTACATCCGCATCACACAGTACATCGACAGCAATGGCCTCCCGCGCACCGCCCAGTCAGAGGAGACACGCATCTGGCATCGTCGCGATGGCAAATGGCAGATAGTTCATTTCCATCGATCAGGAACTTCATCTGCACTTGCTAAGTAAGGGCTCGGAGGGAGCACGGCTGACTGTCATTGACAAACCAACGGTTAAGGGGCACGGGGCAGGAACCAGCAAAGCTGAACTCAGAAGGAGATAGAAATACACCAAGAGCAGTTAAGCTTTGGGTTTTGAAAGCCTGTAGATTGGAGAAGGAAAGGGAAGCGTGAGTGAATCAGAGACCTGGAGAAGTCTTGATTTCAACACAGTGACCAGTTACCTACCATCAGGATGAGGGCAAGGATGGTGGTGGGGTAACAACTGGCAAAAGAACTGAAGGCAGCGGGGAAATACCTCTCCGATAAATCTTCTGCATGATTGCACTGCAAATTGCATCCATAACGGGATGGGGGCGGGAACAGCAACTGACAAACTCGGGAGGAGGGAAGGGGGAGAAGAGTGGGATATCCACATTGAATTGTGAAGCTCACTGCCGCCACCTACTGGTGGAAAACCAACAGTGAGCAAAAATCCGTTTTATTCTCATTCCAGCGCTGGCATAAGTGGGAATGAATGGCATTATTCCCTAAAGAGGAGGGAAAGGAAGCGAGTGATCCAACGGATAAGCCGTCTCCTCTGTTTGTTGACTTGCAGGGTCCAGTCTGTGACTGAGTTTTTGGAGTAATCTTATCCTGGTTCCTCGTAAACTTGGATTCACAGCCCCAAACTGTACCCGTTTCACATTGGATTGACAATATAGCACTTAAACGACAAGCAGCGTGGCTGGCGCGGGGCATTCTCGGTTGGGTTTGGAGACAAGTGACCCTGGTGATGGATTTCCGCGCATGTCAGATGCCTTGGCTGCTCCTTTGAGGTCTTAGCAAAGGAAACTTTTGTCCTTGTAGTCCTGGTTTTGAATGTCAATCGGAACCGGTCACTGACAACGTCTCCATGGGTGTGCATATAAAGCACGCACAGTATAGTAATAACCACCTCTGTGTTGTGTCCCCGCAGCTGAAGGTGCGAACTGCCCGGTCTCTTGCTGCTAAACCCACGAATGACTTGCTGCATGCAAGGTGTCTCTTCCATCACCTCACGGCTCTCCACGGGCGGAACACTTGGTGGGATATCTGATGAGCTGAAAACTGGATTAAGCTTCACAAACTCCGTGTAACACAGGGCGAGGACAAATTTCATACATCGGTCATTTTTTTTTATTTGTATCTTCAAAGGCAATATCTGTGGTCCCGCATGCTTTCCGACACTGCGATAGGCAGTAGATAGGATGTTCAAACTGTTAAAACACTCGTTTTCCAAAATTATGGATCTGCATGCGTTTTTTTAATTATATAATGGATGCAAATTGTAACAGGATCTCTACAATTGTAGAAGACTGCAGGAGGCTGAACATATCTGCCACTTTAGTATATATATATATATATCTCCTTCAAAAGCTAGATCTTTACTGCAACGGAGCCTTCCAATTAAACAGACAATAAATAGCCTGGATGTGGAGTGGGATCTGAGAGACAGAATCATACAAAATGTCACTCATTTTGGGTACTCCATGAATACATTACGCATCTATGTGTGTATTTATGTATGTATTTATATGTGTGTATAGTGTGTGTGTGTAGTGTGTGTGTGTATGAATACATGACATATATATGTGTGTATGTAAGTATTTATATATATATATGTGTGTGTGTGTATGATTACATTACGTATGGAAGTAATGAATGGAATTCATGGTATTAAATGAAATACTAACACTATCAGCATGGAACTTCCTGCCTTCCTATTAATTCTGATAATCGTTTCATGCGACAAATTGCTGCAACAAAGGCCACGGTTAATAAGGAGGGAAGAATTCCTCTCAATGCAATATCTATTTTTAAATAGACGTGATTTGTTTCGTACTTCAGGTTGCAACTAACTTCCTAACTAGCCAAATCACAACTGTATGAATCATGTACAGTATCCACTAAAGAGAAGTTTCATCTGACGATAACACCATTAGACCCATTGTGTTTGAGATAGTTGTTGGCTTTTGTTTACATGAGGAACATTGTTCCTGTTTTAACGAAAATCTGTACTTTGCCTTGGATGCCTAGAGCTATGATTTCACTCTCTGGATCTCCATCGAATTGTTGTCTAGGTCTCTCTGTCCTATGCTCCTTATTCACGTCCAATAGGCTGTTGTATTAACAGGAACACCTTCTTAAATCAGCAGAGGAGCATAGGACTTTTGTTTGAAGCTTCTGACTAGCTAGGCGGACTGCAATGGTCTTTTCTGGCCCTATACTGGACACTCCTATGTTCTCTTCTCTCGCCTCCAATGCAGAAGTGACGATGGCAAAGAAACACTGAGCTGGACTAACAGACACCGAGTTTGACAACTGAACGAAACTGCATGCAAAACAAATATCTTACGTTTCAGCACAGGAGGTCAAACAGATCAGCTCAAAGAGGGAAATTGTCAGGGAAATAAAAGCCCTTTTTGTTTGTTGGAGACTTTTTTTGGCCTAAAGCACATTGAGCTGGTGACGGTGTTGACGTTGTGTAAGAAATGTTTTTTGTTATTTCTGAATGTGCCAAATTCTTTTCCATGGAAGAATTCGAATGTGATTGGGTTTCCAGCATGCGATTCCTGGTGACGTTAATGTGTTTGCCTTTCTGTAACGTGCAACTCTTTATGGAAAAAAAATGGGTATTTATCTGAAGCTTCCTGTTACAGTACTTTGTGTAATGGATCTTTTTATTCTCTCCCCATCCCCTGCTCATTCTATAGGTCAGTGTTCAGTTAGTGGAGCTCCTCTCTGCCTCGTGCTAGTCAGTCTGTGACCCTTCTTGTGTACGTCACTGCGGAACTAGTCAGTATGTAGCTCGGCACCTCAGAGAATCGTGTGAGGCAGAAACTGGAAGGTGTTAAATTGATCAAGAATAGTGTAAACAAGGGTATTGATCTGGCTATATTGCCTCATGGCGTTTGTGTGCAGCTGAGCACTGATCCAACTGATCAGAGCATCAATATCAATCACTCACTAAGCTCACGTACAAACTCCTTGGGAGGTAACAAGCTCCCAGTTTCATATTAATTCAATAGACCAGCAGTACATCAGGCCTGGGGTGTGTCTTATTCTATGTACTGACAGGTCTGCTCCAGATTTATTCCTGTGCTGTGTGAGCAGTAACTAGGCAATGGGACCAACAGAAAGCCTCCCGACACACATTTGTGCTTTCCCTTTCAAAATCAAAGGCTTTTACGAGAAATTAAACAAGTTCACAAACAGCTCCCCGACTCCAAATAAAGCAGCCAGTCTTTAGCTGTTTTTGAGGGAGAAGCGATGGGGAAAGAGTCTGTCACTGGAATTTGGGGATTCCATGCTGCAGGGAGCATCGAGTTAAGAGTTTCCAAACACTTCCTGAAATTGAATTCTGGACAACCCTCGCTGACAGATTCTATCTCAGGATGTAATAGACAGACAGTCTGACTAAAGTACATCTGGTGACATGGACTGCGTGGATAATTGGGCAGCAGAGCTTCATCGTGTTTCTTGTCATGGAAGCATTGTGGTTCCAGGCAGTTGCTGACTCAGTTTGTATTGCAAGGGAGAATCTACAGCACAAATCTGGCATAGAAAATGAGCACAGAACTCTTTCTGATCTCAGGCTTGAGGCCAGTCTATGTTGGGTAACCTCATGTTACTTTGTTGACAACTCAATTTTGATTTTAATTGATTTCCTTCCTGATATCTTTCTCTTCACAAAGCCGTGAACATTCCCAATAAAGTTGCTGATAAAATTCTAGCTGCGTTGATCAGGAAGGTTTTACTTTCCAATGAACTTTATTTGAGATTAATAGCTAGGTGATGCCAAGCTTCGAAAACCCAAGATTGTAGAGGAAAGGGAAGAGCCTCCAAACTTTGGAGGGGAAAGCGAATGAAACATGGAGATCCCATCAGGTTTCAATTAACAATAAGGTAGACAATCAGACTGTGAAATTGGCATCACCTGACTATTATTATGCCTCAGTTTAATTTGATTTCTCTCCTGCTCTTTTCAATCCTAGCAGTTTCCTGTACTGTGAGCCTCCACCCTAAATTTCTCAATAAAAATAATTCCAAAATCAAAGGCTGGAATAAACATATCACAAATTTCCGCAGTGAAGAACTTGGCAAAAATTAAACAACAACAAACTGCATTTGTATAGCGCCTTTCACATCGGATTGTTGGGCTGTGAATATGTTGCAGTGTTGTAGCTCAGCGGAACTGAGGATAAGTGCTTGGGATCCGGGATGTGTACTGTTGAGTTATGCATGTTGGAAATATATTTTTCTCTCTCTTGCTTGCTTTTACTTAATGGCTTCAGAGAACAAACTGAAACAGATAATTGAGTGAACATGTGCACCATTTGTAGAGCTGGTTTTGCTGGCTTAAGCCTTTGTACTGGACTTTATCTGTGGGAGGGCAGAGGGCGGCTGCTTTTGTATTGGTATTGTACTGTGAATTGACTCAATGCCTTCTGTACACTTTGTAAGTGTTTTTACTGTACATTGTTGTAACACTTAAAACAAATAGAAATTAAGCAAACTTTTGGCTTGGAATCCGATTAATGGAAGCTCATTGGTAATTGGTATCTTGTGAATATTTTCATTGGTGTTTACAAATAAACAGATTTTATCAGGTTATTTGGCCTAAAACCTATTTTTAATTCAACACAATCTATCTATAGCTAGAGGAACTATGTGAAACCCCAACTTAAATAGACTTAAAATCAATATGTTCTTTATAGCAAATCTGGTTTTAATTTCATGTGGGGAATATTCTTGGCCTATATTGAGATTGCAGATATTTGTAATGAGCTTTCACTTTCCTATTGGAAAACAGCCGCGCCTCAGATTCTGTGCAGAGAGATTCAGTCAAAGAGATTCAGCCAATAATGTTTGGCGATTCAGTGAGATGAACTTCAGCTAAAGATTGGAAGGTTTAGGGCTGATTTGATCAAAATATTCTAGATTCTAAACAGTATTGATAAATTGCACCCAAATAATATGAAAACTCAAGCTTAGAAGAGGTCAGGTGAACAGAGAGGTTAAGAGTAATAATTCTACTAGAGAGCATTGAATATGTGTTATGAACTACCCAAGAAATAAGAGGAGGTAGATTGTATCTGCAAGTTATGGAGAGAATTGGGTAACTATTTAGCACACAAATTCATTGAGGATGAGGGAGAGCAAAGTATTGCTATGATACAGACCACAGTTCTCTTTTTGTGCCCTATACATTCCTATATACGAGCACCTGAGAGTTAACTCAGCATAGATCAGGGATCAAACCCTACATCTGCCAACATTTATGGTGGTGGAGAGCAGAGAGGGCAAGGTGAAGGAGAAACATAAGCGGAGAGAAACAGTGTCTGTGTCAGAAACAACCTCACAAATCCAACTCTCTTTTGCACATTTTTACCTGTAGAATTTTATTGGGGTTGGTTTAATGAGTGACAGGGCAGGAGATAATGGATGGCGATATGAATGATTATCAAACACACAGTCAGATGATGCCATGTTGAGATCTGCTGTAGTCAGCAGTCATGTCAGTGTGCTGCTGACACTGACTGACACTCCTGTTGTCTTAGCCCTTTGAGCCTGAGCCTAAGCCGCTGAGCAACCTCTGATAAGGAGCAACTGCCATCTCTCCCAAACAGATACATGTTAATTCTCTATTGCACTAGTTCTCACAAGTGAAACAGAAAACAGCTATAAATCCAGAGTGAAAGTGTCCTTACAACATCAAAATCTTATAAAACATGGGCAAGATGGTCTACTTATCATTGAGACTTTGACAGGAATTTCACCTCCCATGCATGTCTAAACATAATGTTAAATAGAAGATGTAAGACAACAGCGTTGTGACTCAGTTATTGGCTTATACAGCAATTCTCTATGATGATCTTTAATGGTCCTGTACATTCCGATGTTCCTATGAAACTGCCTACTTTCCTTCCTCATTGCCTCCCAATAATAGTCATCATGTGATCCTGAAATCCCCTGTGAAATTCTCTCCCTGATCTAATTAATGTAAGCATCCTATCATCAATAAGCAACTTGCTTTTATTCCCCTCCATTTTTGGACTCAGATACATAAAATTACAAGTTATAAACTCTTTAGATTGTAAGAACTAAATATTTGTTCTCTTTAGCAATAGCAGCTATCCCTCCGCACTGAATGGTTCTCTCCAGATAGGGTGACCCCAATATGTAATAAGGATATTCTATTCGGTGATAACCATGGGATCCAGGTATTATTCTGGGCTACATTCAAGGTCACTCCAGTGATCAGTGCAATAAATCTTTATATTCCCCAATAAACCAACTTTCCATAAAATATAAATTTATTGTGAAATAAATTGTAATCATTAACTGTGCACTTGATGGATCTGTTTCCAGACGTTACAACTATCTGATGGTTTATTCCTGCTTCTTACTTCCTGCAAACCTCGCTACGTTCCCCTCCACTTCTGATATGTTCATTCAAATAGATTTTGAGGTAACAATCTCAGCTGCCAACAATATTACGGATAAATTTTATTTTCATCCCCAATTCACACCTCCATGCACACACACACAGAGAAGCTTACAATTGGGGCATGGTTCCATGTGTGTGACAGGTCAAACAGTGAGTTAATTGAAGGCCATAAAGGTCCCAAAATCTGAGCTACATCTTATCCTCATCCACAATTCAAACATGTACATACTTCCTAGCAAAGTCACTGGATAGTGGTGATCAGGAACAAAGATCTTGACTGAATGATCCTCTGTCTGACCCAGAAGTACTGAGGCCACATGTAATTTCCCTCTAACAACAAATAACAACTTGTATTTATATAGTGCCCATCATGCACCGGCAGCGCCTCTGAGCGATTAAGTGTGGCAACATCCTAACCGAGTATCTGGGAAAGGTACAATACATAAAAGATTTGCAGAATACAGATTTGCAGTGTTCCTTTAATCCCGAATCGAGTCCCTGTGGGTTCCAATCAACTGTTCAAGCACTTAAGCTACTAAGCAACGGGGCGATTGTTTGCCTTTTCTGAGCGGATGATTTTTCTCCAGTTTCCGTGGCGCAGTGATGTAACGCTGGGTTCCAATCAATATTGAATCAAGATGTGATTCTGATTAGCATGAGGTTGATTCCCTCTCAGTTCATCTCTCGTTAGTTCTCTGGGCAAATGGGAGTTGGTCCAATCTCCAGAGTCAGTCCCAGCCACCAAACTGCAGCAAAGTCTCACACCTGACAACAATAATGAGCCAGAAGTGGAATTTATTGATCTGCAGTCCAACTTCACAAAGAGTACAGCCTCATTACTACAGAGAAAAGGCCTTCTGGGAGAGATTTACTGCACCGGCGGGGAATGATAACAACTTGCATTTACACAGTGCCCATCATGCAGGGTAACATCCCAGAGCACTTAACAGTGACGGAGCCTGATGCTCAGCCCAGGGGAGGGAGGAGATGACCGTAAGCACAGTCGAAGAGGAAGGTTTTCACTCATGATTAAAATAAGGGAAAGGCAGAGGGATTGGAGGAGAGAGTTCCAAAGCTTCAGGGTGTAGTGGCTGAAAGTGGAGCAGCGGGGATGAGGGATAAGCAGGAGGTCAGAGCCAAGGTGTAGTGGCTGATGGTGGAGCGGAGGGGACGAGAGACAACAGGAGGTCAGAGCCAGCTGAGCGGAGGCGGTGGGTATTGGAGTGGGGATAATGATGCAATGAAGCGAGCTTTCATAATATTTACAGAATGTTTATTGATGCTTATATATATCTAAGGCTTGTTCCCATAACCTCTGGCACAATAAATATGAGAACTACTTACTTAGTTCAGTAACTTGCTGCCTGATACACATCCAGCCAGCTTTTATGGCCCTGTTGCTTGAGAACTGGAGGAGAAACTCACGGCCGTCCAAGCCTCATTTTCTGCAGATACTTTACTGTACCCTAACAGTGGTCAATGTTGCTTCCATTTTACAGTGTCATTTTCCAACCAGCCAGCAACGTGTGCAAGGGCTGTTTGTAAAGCAGAAACACTCACTGATAGATTTTTACGTTAAGAGTGAAACAAGTTTGAAAAGAACGTCACAAAAATGGAAACAAGTACAAACTATCCTATACAATTAGACCACAAAGCTCCATATTCCACGTAGTATCTCTCTCAAGTCATTGGCTGATTCGGAAGCAGAAGGTCTAAGATTCAAAGAGCTCAATCTTCACTGAACTACATTGGTTTCATGGCCAACTAGTGATAGTGAATCTTTTTTTCTCTCATCCCTCTTTCCCATTCTCAAAAGATTGTCTTTCAGATTTAGGCAAAGTATTCTTTTTGTTCCTGATCTCCACTTCCACCCACCTCCCACTGTTAGTTAGGAGAGCAATTTACTTTAATTGGTTCAGATTGTCTAATTAAAACTATTTAACCTTTGAATACTTATACCCACTCAATTCAAGACTGTTTACTCCAATTCAAAATCTCTCAACTCCCTCCTTACCTCAGCTGTCCTTCCTTCAACTTTTTATAGGTTTTGCCCCAAATTGGGGTTAGTCATTTATTACTCATCTTCTTTCCAGTGTGTCCAACCTTGATGGTGTCCTATGGATCTTGACCCAAGTCTGGGTTTCTTAATATAAACAGTAGTAATAGGAAAAGGATTGTCAGCAGGTGGCGATAAAACCCAGGAAGCAGTTTTGGACCTGATGTTTCAGACAGACCAGATTCCAGCCTGTTAAACCGGCATCTAAACTGGCATAAAATATAGCACAACTACCTCTGGGTGCAGAAGTCTCTAGTCTGCAGCTTCTTTTTTCAAGTCAGGAAACCCAAACTGTGCCAGGCTGGACTTAACTAGCTTCAGGTGAGCAGCACAACAACAACTTGCATTTATTCACACAGCGCCCCTCACGCAGGTTAGTGTCCCAGGGCGCTTGAGGACAGCCACTCTCCTCGCTGTAAGATGAGAAACAGTAACATTAAACATGCACATCTGACTTCTTTTTATACAGTAAATATAAACATGCACTGTACATAAATATACATTGTCACCTTTTCCAATCTGTAAGTGATTGTCTCTTTACTGTGGGACAGATGACACATCCGGACAGGGATCCAACCCTTCAAATAAAAAATAAACAAGAATTTCATCGCTCAATCCACCACTGTTTGTGGGATGGACACTGCTGTGCGCAATTGGCTGCCGTGTTCCTCCCACAAAATGTAGTCAATTCACTATATGGTATACTCTGTGAAGCCTTTTGAGACGTCACGACAATGTGTTAAAGTGCTATATCAAATGAAAGGATTATTATTACTATTGTAACCCAAGCCAGAGCTCAGACATAGCGAGTTCTAGCCCAGAACAGAGTGAGCGAGCTCAGAGGAGAGAGAGTCTTATCTCTTCACTCCTGTGGCAGCTGTTTGTGTGGCTGGGAACTCACAGTCAATCGATTTCTCATTTATCAAACAGCCATTAATATGTGTAAGGAAAATATTATTGTGTTTATCTTGCTCTTAAAATGAATAGGACTTGTCTTATTAGAAATAAATGAAATGTCTGTACAGTACTGTGTAATTAGCTGGTGTGTACATCGCAGCAACAACAAACAATTCTCGGTTTTGAATCAAAGGATCACAGAAAGTTTATAACACTGGAGGCCATTCAGCCCATCCTGTTCCCCCCCGTGCTAACTTCTGCATCTATTCCCCTCCCCCTGCTTTCCCCAGGACCCTTTAATATTATTTGTCATCAATTATTCGCTAGCTCCTGTGGTGAGAGCGTCACGTGGTGGTGGCTTTTCAGCTGTATTGGGTGGTCAAGTTTTGGTTGGTCTCTTATGAGTGTATCAAATGCAAGATTTATTATTATTAGGGGTTGGCAAACTTTCTCACTAAATGGCATTATCAGTGTAGAAAACTCCTCCGTGTTGAGGGCACAAACCACAATTCTAGTGTTGGGGTTAATGAGGAGTCAATGTCAGTGTTGAGTGTATCTAACTGCAGTGCCTTAATGTTTCCTGTTAGGCTTAGAAAGAAAGGATCCGGCTCTGTTATGATCGCACCCATCACCCACCACTTTGGCTCACATGTGGTCAAGGGTGAGATGGTAGTGGGGGGAGAGGGGTTGGGGTGGGGAGGTGGGGGGGAGTTCCTCAGAGTGGGGGGGACTTTCGTCTTGGGAGCTTTACCCCCAGATGGATTAGCGCCTTTTGGAGCAGATAACCTTTTCCCCCAGATCAGTCAGTGCCTTTACGGGCACATAGGGAATATATTGGCAGATAAATATAGAAAATGATGTCTAACATTTAAATAAATTATTGTGTTATTGAATTGGATGTGGGGAGGGAAGAAATTCTACTGCAGGAAACGGGAATAATTTCAGCTCTCCCAGGGCACAGTGTTATTTTACTGCCCTCTCTGGTTTTGTTGCCAGAATAGCCATCAACATGCTATAGATCTCTTGTCGCACGCATCCTCTCACTAAAGAAAGCTCTACATTAACAGGCCAACACACCCACCCATCAGCGGGGCTGGTTTCTGATGGCTCCACAGCCATCTGAACTGATTCTCCAACAGCAACCTTTGCCCTGGTACATTGTATGTGCAAACAATAAGGCGAAATTGGGTTTCCGTAGAAATATGTCAAAGTACATGTCGCTTAACAACCGCACGGATCAGTGAGGCAGTGACGAGATAAAGGTTCTCCCTGAACTCCTGGTATCATAGGGTGTGTTCTTTATGAGCCTGTGGTAGAAGGTTGTTGTAATAAGCTTATAACTTGGCAGAGAAGGGTCTGGAATAGGACTTCCTCTTTGCTCATTTGACCCGTTTGAAGACTCTGTCAGTGTGTTGTTGTGTCCAGGCTGGTGGCTCAAGCGCTTTGGGTCTTGACCAGAAATCACAGAACATGCCTCTGTTTTGTTTGAAACAAAAACAGAGAGAGGTGGGAAAACTCGAGCAGGTCAGGCAGCATAAATATGTGAATATTTCCACATACAGTTGTGAGTCAGAGCCACAGAGGACTATGAGACCTGTGTCAGATGTCACAGAATGAGGACATGCAACACTTGTAACACATGTAACACAGGTCATGATAACTGTCACGTTTCCGCTCACCATAGCTGCCTTTCACCAAGATTCGTCTCAACATAGCGGCCATTCCTCTCCCAGTCTTTCAGATTAAAACAGTTTCCAGTCTCTTCAATCGTTTTCAATGAACCACAAACCATCATGTTCTTCAATCCCCATCATTTCAGAAACATATTCAGCAAAGAACAAAGGACACAAGTGATAAGCAGAGGCATTCGTTTTACTTTAAATGCATCATAATATTTACACCTCATTAAAATAAAAAAGTACAAACATTTCAACATATATTAATTTCTGCTAAAGGGAATCGGGAGGTGTTTCGATTAGATGTAGTTTTAGCTTCAACATTTTCTTAAAGCTTTTGGTGACGATGGACGGGAGATCAGCCATTTGGCACAAGGCTTTTATTCCAAACTGGTCGGCCAACATTCTCCAGGATATTCCCTTATTTATCTCTTAGTTGTGTGTGTGCCTTACTGTTGCAAAGCGACTGTCATGTTTGCCTTCAAAATATTTCACATTCAATCCTAGTTTGGAAGTCGGCTTAATTTGGTCCTTAGAAAGAACCAAATTAAGACCAAATTTGGGGATCTTGAACAAGTATTCACAATCTTCAATTTTAAGACAAAACAGACTTAAAACCTGATAGATGGGATTTCAGCATTGAGTGCAGTACATTGCGCTCTCTGCCACTGAGTAACCTGCATTCAGACTACCTTAGGGCATGTGTCATGGACCTGGAAGAGAATCCTTGAACTACAGACAACCTCAACTAAACGCATATCAAAGAATTAAATGAAACCCTTTCTGATATGTTACACTAAAGAGAGATTGAATACTAATACATTGCTGCTATGAGCCATGGTGTGATGTAGGGTGAGACTAGTTGGTGACAGCTTTCACTCTCCAGGTCCACACATGATGAATGGAGCACACGGATAAGGTATTGCAGCAATGCACCTCCCAAGACAATGGAGAACAACAACATCGGGAGGATGTGAAAGTTGTTTTACAAGAAACTTGAGGAAGTAAGGAAACATTGATGGCACAACTAAACACAACAGCAAGATCCCCCACATGAAGCTCAAAGCTTCAGTAAGTGGGGAGCTCACTCTATTCAGGATAAATTTTACCCCAAATGTGCAGAGGCAGCTCAGAAACATCAGGGTATGGTGTTACCGTAGTAGATAGGAGGAAATTAGTAGATTTGGTCATAAAAATGGCATCTGAAAGGTGAAAATATCTTGAAGTTATACAGTAATATAATACACCTGCAAAATAATATACTCTTACTGTAAAAGGCAGCCAGGCTCTTAAACCACGTGAGATATGACAATATAGTTTTGAATCCTATGTACGTGCTGAAGATAGATTTGGATGCATTATGTACCCTGGCAGGATGACAATGGCAAAAATTGTTCACAACAACATCCCAAATGATCGCTTGGTTGTGGTGGGCCTTTGGCATCAGAGAGTCCCTTGTGATTGGAAATGGCTGGTTCACCAGAAGGTGGTGAGAGGAGCTTGTGTTAGGGCAGGTATTCCTCTTTAATAGTCATTGGGATAGACTGGGAGAGCAGGTTACCGGTGCTGCCCACACTGCTGCTGCTGACCATGCCTATAGCACTGACGCAGCTGGCGCCCGGGGGGGTGGGGGTGGTTGTGCTCGCTGCTTGCGATTGCTGCTGAAGCTTCTTCTTGTTGATTTTCCTCTCTTTCGCTCTTCGGTTCTGGAACCAAATCTTTACCTGGGTAATGGGACAAGAGATCAGAGTAAACAAGGTGAGCAATGCTCAGAAACAATTCTCTCATCATCACCCACCTCACTGTGCTCTCACCAACTCTCTTCCACACCCATTGGCTTCATATACAATGGAGTTGATGAGTGTAAAATATTTCAACGCTATTTAGCCGTCATTTGTCCTGACAATAGAATGCACTCACCTGACGTTCAGACAGTCCCAGTGATACTGATAGCTCAGCTTTCCTGCGTATGGTTATGTATCTACTGTAGTGAAACTCCTTCTCCAGCTCCAGCCTCTGGTGATCTGTATAGACAACTCGGTATTTGTCTTTTGTCCTGGTTTTACCTGGTTATAGACACAAGAACACGTTTGTTATGAAGCGAGGCTCTTAGAGCTGCACTCGCTCGCTCTCCTTGGGAAAGAGAACATTGATGTGGTTACGATCCTGAGTTTTGCAATACTGAACAGCCCAGAGGGAGCCTCTGTGAGCTGCTATGGACATAGACCAGGAGAACAGAGCTAGAGGCCAGCGGGTTCAGATTAAACTCTTCAGTTACAGAAACATTCTTGCCGCTCTTCAGTGCCATCAGGACTACCAAAGAGCAGGACAGAAGGCAAGGTAACTCAGGTAGTGGCCCGATTTGTCACTGAGGTTTAAGAGCCTGTAGATTGTAGGACGAAGGGAAGACTAAGATAAGTGAGAAGGTTGGAGAGAAGGACCTCCTGTCAGCGAAATCTAAGGACAAACAGGGTTAAGGTATGAAAGTGCGATGCAAGATGTTTGTGGTAATACATCAAGCTGATGAGTCCTTTACATATAAAGCAATGAGGCACTGTACTGTGTTATTTCAGGCTAATCCCAAGTCAACATTGTGTATTTCAAACATTGTGCATGTCCAAACAATGCACTCCTTTACTGAGCAATGACTCATACTGGTGCATGTTGCATTGTGTACTATAGATTCTCTGTTCCACCCCCCCCCCCCCCCACACACACACACACACACACACACTCACACACACAGGACTGAGCAATATGCAGAGTACTGTGTGAAATCCAGAGTATAATCTTCTGTTTGCCATTGGCATGGCAGCTGGTCAGCTGCTATCGATTCCCTTCCTGCTTGCACTGGGGGCACAAGATGGTATATTTTCTTTGTCCATCATTGCACTTTATCATATGTCAATGTTTATCAGGTGCAACGGACACAACGGCAGGTGAGTCCGTGAGCAATCGTCCCAGGTACTTTGAACTTAAGTAAACTGGATGTGTTGTCCTGTGAATGTCACACATTTATTTATTATTCTGTACAGATGTACAACAACAGGCTTGTACTGCAAATTTATGTGTGAAATTCCCAATGCAGACCAGGAAGATCTGTGGAAGAGCAATCAATCTCTCAAAACATTCAGAACTTACAAAGCTCTAGAACACATGAAATGACAATTCAACCTCCTCTGTCCACAGAAAGGTACAATGTGTCCCATCATGGAATCTACAATTTCCTCCCCGAATGCTCCCTAGATTCCCAAAAGTCAATCAAGCCAAACTCCACGGTAATCTTTTATTCCCACTTGTTGACTATTCCACTGGTCACTATTAGCTGTGAGCACAGCTCTTGTCCAGCCTGGACTGCTCCACCTATCAGGGCTTTGGTTCAGAGGCTTGGCGACGTGCTTACACCTTTAGTTCTCATTGATAAAGCAGACAATAGTGTCAGCCATCAATAAGGTTGTGCATTTACTGCCAAGTTTCCAGATATTGGTTACTCAGATATAGTTTGAAGCCAAGTGACCACTTTGCCCCACACAGAAGACTATTGAGAGGCGCAATGCTTACTTTACCAACCTCAAAAGAATAAAGAGCTGAGTGGATGCATCAGGATTTAAACGCTGACTCCATGTCACAATCAGGCAGAACATTATTGGTGACAGTCTCAGTGTTGTTGGCAAGTTAGAAGCCTTGAGAAGGCGCTTGAGCAGAGAGATGAGCAGGTATAGGTGGGAATGAACAGTATAGGACATTGGTAAGAAATGCTTCCAGTGTCCTCAGAGAACATCAGCTCAAAATACCTACAAACTGTGTTCAGAAGGATGACATATGCATATTACTGCTGGGTATTTACACAGTATTTGTGAAGATAGTGTATTAATCTCACCCACACAAAATAATATATTACTGCTGACTAACAGGAGAAAAAATACCTTCAATGCAACACCACAAACTGTCACACTATTGCACCGCACTAACTCCCAGCAACATGTCATCCAGAGAAGCTCTGCTTATAAGTTGAAAGAACGAGCTTTCTCGATGCCCCAGTGGGAAAGGGCAGTGCCCAGGAAAGCATTGAGCCATACGTACCAGAGGATTGCAAGTTGGATTCCCGGTGGACGCCGGCAAATGAAGGTTGGCCATTTGGCTGAAGTGCTGGTGCCCGAGGAATCGTTCCCCAGCATTGGTCAGTGCCTTAAGAGGGAAAAAATTGGCAAAATAAAAACAACGTAATTTCTGAGAGCTTGCCAGCTACTGTAGTGATTTAGTTCGGAATTAGTAACATTTTCATCTGGGTTTTTCTTGTCCTCCAATTTCCTCCCTCTACATCTACTTCTGACATCTCCTGACAGTAACCATTATTGGCCCCAGCCCCTTGGGACGTCCTCCAGACGTGAATGGCACTATCCAAATGGAATTTGCTACTGTTGTTGTTGTTGTGATGGGGTGGTGATGTCTCCCCCCTCAGTTCACTGATGTGTGACCTGAGGGGGGAGACATCATCGCCCCAATCCTAAGCACACTCGTGCCTTCCAGCAAGGAAAGGGGAGAGGGGTCTGCAGGTGTTTCAATCCACAGCTGTTTGCAGGACGCTCCTGTGCGTAATTGGCTGCCACGTTTCACCAACAAAATACATTTTGTTCATTTTACAATATATTCTGTGAAGAGCTTTGAGACATCTCAATGACGTGATAAAGTGCTCTATCAAATACAAAGATTATTATTAGTAGTAGTAGTTTGCAGAATCAAATAAGCAAGTTGGAAAGAGCAACAAATTATAGATTCCTTCTTGGCTGGAGACAAGCGCCAATTGCACAAGAGCACAACAAACCAAAAGTTTACAATAGAAACTCGTTGCTGCTGAGCTCTGGCCCAGCATTCCTCCTCAGTCTGTGATAAGGCGCTTGTCCTGGTTAATGGATAATGGCTTTATTACACATCTCTTCATGGAATTCAACAACAAGCTCTAGATTTTCCTCAGGGGCGACGGGAACAGGTTATTGCCAGCAGTAAACCCGCCAGCCTCCTCTTCCCGCTGCCAGGAAACAACCGAGGAGAATACTAAATATTCTGCTTGTTCCTGTACCAGCAGTGTTCAGCCACAACACACCATGTCTGTCCTGAACTTTGGCTTCTTTAACTCAAGCTTTTCCAATGCCCCCTTCTTCCTACACTCTAACCCTGATCCTAACCCTTTACTTAACCACAACTTCTTGATTCAGATCATCTTTCTCATTCCTACCCTTTAGAAGCTTGGTGCTGTTCTGCATTATGGGCCTTGGTCCTTTACCCAAGTTTCTTGCTGAAAAATGGTATTAAAATGTTCCCTTTATGGACATTGAACTGAAATCTTTGACAACTGAGGCTTCAGGAAAGAGCTGCAATAAACACCCCTTTTCCCTCTTTGTGAAATTTGAATGAACATATAACTTGGATTATTGGGTGATGTGCTAATTTTGCTAACCTGTCTTGCCTCCATTCCTGCAATTAATGATTTACTGAGATAGTGACTCATAACAGAGGCTTGTACTGAGGTCAGGCAGAGTTGTCTATTGTTGCTAATTGCAGTGTCCGTGATCAGTCAGTACTGCAGCTACACCACACCCAGAGTGGAGCTCGGGTCAGTACTGCTCCTTGATAAAGTGATAAACCAGCGCTCTGAGATGCTACCTGTGTGGAGGACGCTCTGTAAGTGCAAGTTGTTGTTGTTGTGTTGTCCTTCCAAATGAAGAGCACTGGGAACTGCAGTTTCTTCTTATCTGGTTGTACATTGTGAATAATGATGACAATCAAACATCTCCGCTATTCAACTCCAACCTCCTTCCATTCTGAAACCTCCAACCTCAGCAGCATAAAGAAACATCATGACCTACAGAGTATTTGTTCAACTCAGTCTGTACACGTCTTTCTAACCTCAATAATCTTCCTAAATAGATTCTAGATATGAATATCTATCTAGATAGCAACTAGATATGAATATCAATCAATGTTGGGCCTTTTTATATCTCCCTGGAGCTACAAATCTACCGAGGACAAACTGTAGTGATATAATTGGACTCTTAGATCACGGCTGAAGACCTTCCTCTTCGACTGTGCTGACGGTCACCTCCTCCCTCCCTCCCTCCAGCTCGGTGTCAGGCTCCGCCACTGTTAAACACTCCCAGACGCTGCCTCACCTGAAGGGCCCGATATGAATGCAAGTTGTTGTTGTTGGCACAGCAGTGGTTGATTTGGTTAGCTCTACAGACGGTGTGTTTACAATTTCAGTAATGCTACATGTATTTACACATCTCCAGCTGATTTATATATGTGTGTTCCAATATTTGTTACAAGTACCATTTTCTTTGGGAAGGTTATTACATGACACGTGTGAATCCTTTTTAAACTGAGTGACAAAGATACGCTGTTTCAAAAGTCAACCATAAAGTAATATAGTGCCGGAGATTACATCATCATGTAATGTCCCAGTCCTCCTCACACGCACTGCATAGACTCTTGACCTCGCTGCAAAGACACTCGCGATGTAATAAAAGCCTCTTATCTTCCACCAAACCAAAAATTCGGTTAACAAACCAACAGCGGCAAATTTTCAGTTGAAGTTACTTTCGGTCTCAGAATATAGCTGTGGTTCAGATGGGTTTCAGCGAGAACATAGAAGCCCTGTGCTGAGTGAAAGAATGTGGATCTTATCCTGTTCCCTTCTTCACATGTAAAACAAAAGCTCCTCTCTGCCTATCATTGCCCTGTTTATCACCCTGTGTGGTTGATGTTAATCCTTAACTAGACTAAGTCAACACTAACTCCATATGGTTAGCAGGATAACTTGTTGCCTGCCTGAAAATCGTGGGAGGTCCTGTGGGGCCTAGTGAGAAATTCTCACTGTGAAAAGCCTGATAGTTATGTGACTAAATAATGTTCAAGTTCAAGTCAAAACGTTCTCAGACAGCTTCACTTTTGGGTTAGAAGGTTCAAGCTTTGTGTTAGGGTTTGGGCTCACAGCGCCGACTGACATCCCAGGGCATTACTGTGTTGAGCACTGAATTATCAGAGTGACATTCCATTCCTCCTACCCTAAGGGTATCAAGGGATATGGAGCAAAGAGATCCTTGGGGTTGAGGTACAGATCAGCCGTGATCTAATAGAATGGCGGAACAGGCTTGAGGTACTGAACGGCCTACTCCAGTTCCTATGTTCCTATGACATAGTAATAATAATCATGCTTCCTTTTGATACAACGCCTTATCACGTGTTCGAGACATCTCAAAGCGCTTCACAGAATATACTGTAAAGTGAATTGGTTGTATATTTTGTGGGCGAAACGCGGAAGCGAATTGCGCAGAGCATTGTCCTACAAATAGTTGTGGACTAAAGTGACCAATTTATTTTTATTATTTTTTTGAAAAAATTATTACTCCTGGAAAAGCGATCCGCCCACAACTGGCTTCCTACTTAAAGCTAGGTAAACAGTACTAAACAGCAATCTTACCCATCTAGGTGGATGTTAATGATTCCCCCCAACACTACACAACCGGGAAAAAGAATGGAGTTTCACCTGGTATCCTGGCCAGCAGTCTTTGAGAATAAATTAAATCAATTTAATTTGTTGTTGAGGGACATTACTCTGCCCAAACTGGCTGAGGCTTTGGCCTGCCTCCACATAGTCAACTCTTGACAGCAAATCCCTGTGAGGTGCTACATTAGATGCAAGAGGTAGTCTGGTTATTATTATTGATCTCAACCTGCATCTACCCCATCAGCCCAATCCCTTTTCCCTATAATAATAATAATCCTTGCATTTGATATAGCGCCTTATCACATCATTGAGACGTCTTAAAGTGCTTCACAGAATATCCTGTAAAGTGTATTGACTGTGAATTTTGCGGCAAAAAGCGGCAGCCAATCACACACAGCAGCGTCCCCACAAACAGTCGTGGATTGAGTGACCAAATTTTTATTTTAGTTTTGAAATTATAGATTAAACTATTTTAGTTTAGAATAGAACTATTTTAGATTTTAACTACTGTATATTTAATTTTAATTTTAACTGTGGAAAAGCACCCACCCTGTGTGAAAAATATAAAATATTTATTTAAGACGAAGTGAAGTCCTGATCGCGCTACATGTACCACTGGGTGTCTTGTTGTTTGCTGATACACTGAGGAGCACACTAGAGTACAATTGTTTTAGCTGAGAGAATCTATCCCCTTGCTAGTCCAGGTGCTGAGTTTATCATGCACTCAGTATTAATAATAATCCTTGCACTTGATACAGCATCTTATCACAGTTCAAAGCGCTTCACTGGATATACTGTAAAGTGAATTGACTGTATATTTTGTGGGCGAAATGTGGTAACCAATTGCGCACAGCAGCGTCCCACAAACAGTCTTGGATTGAAGTGACCAATTTTTTTTAAAGGAATTATTACCCCCAGACAAAACGATCCACCAATCAACTAACAACCGGGTTCCAGGTATGTGGAGTAAGGAAGCTTGCTCAGCGTTTGGCCCTGCCGGGAATCAAACCAGGTCTCTCACTTGCTCTAACCACTGAGCTATACAGTAATACAGTAAACCTCATATAAATTGTATCAGTTGGGACCATAGACATTCAACACAACTTATGCAAATAATGAGATATGTCAAACTTACATAGAATAGAAACTCTTGAAAGGGACTTGGGAAGAGGTACTGCTTAGGTGATTATATGATTTATACAGATCAGACTTATGCGAGTTTTACTGTGGCAACAAAAGCGAGACATTTTATCCCAGATTTGTTTTCCCAGCAACATCAGACCTCTGGCTTCCCCTCTTCTCACACTGTCAATGTAATGTTAACCCTCTGGGTCTTGTTATTCCGTGGCTCATACCCAGAGTCAACTAAAGGCCCTAAAACCCATGGAATCTTAATGTAATCAACTCACAACTGGAGTAAGCGAATGTTCTCTAATTTCGTTAAACAATATAACACAATACAACACAATACAGTTGTGGGTGATCTGCGATAAGAGGAATATGACAATAGTTGCAAAATCTGTTATCTGCTGGGGACAGAATTGAAGTCAGAGTCCCTTTCAGTGGGGAGTTTAGAACCTAGTTCCGATGTGGTGCCATCGACAATGAATTGGTTAATGTGTAGTTTGGGGTAGAACCTGGCTCTTTAGCAGTCCTTGAGAGAGATATAACAATCTACCGT